GACAGAGAGAGAGAGAGAGGGAGAGGTTGGTCTTTCATCCAATGGTTCATTCCCCAATTGGCCTCAATGGGCCATCTTCTACTGCTTTTCCAGGCCATAGTAGAGACCTGGATTGGAAGTGGAGCAGCCAGGTCTTGAACCGGCGCCCATATGGGATGCTGGCGACCATATGGGATGCCGGCGCTTCAGGCCAGGGCATTAACCCACTGCGCCACAGCGCCGGCCCCTACACTTTGTTTTCTAAGTTATCTATATTCAGCATAACCCAAGTAAAAATTTTATATTTTTGCAAATAGGTTCTTCAACTCTCACATTTCTGTTAGCTTAAGCCATTTCTCTACCAGCTTTAAGACTCCAGACCATTTTTCCATCTTCACCCTTTTCTTCTCTTTTTATCCTCTCACATATATGTCATCAAGTCCTGCTGTTCATTCCTTCAGATTTCCATCTCTACACAAGATCTTATTGTACCACACAGGAATAATGGCAATAATGGCAGTGGGAGTCCTGTAACATCCCAAAACCTTTTCCCGAAACTGCAATCCATCCTTTTGCCTTGCTAACTTTTTTAAAGATTTGTTCTGTTTATTTAAAAGGCAGAGTTTCAGAGAGAGAGAGAGAGAGAGAGAGAGAGAGAGAGAAGGAAGAGAGAGAGAGAGAGAGAGAGAGAGAGAGAGAGAGGTCTTCCATCCATTGATTTCACTCCTGAGATGGCTGCAACAGCTGGGGCTGGACCAGGCTGAAGCCAGGAGCCAGGAGTTTCATCTGGGTCTCCCACATGGGTGTGGGGGCCCAAGCACTTGTGCCATCCTCCACTGCTTTCCTAGGTGCATTAGCAGGGAGCTGGGTCAGAAGTGGACCGGCTGGAACTGGAACAGATGCCCAGATGGGATGCTGGAACTGCAGCATCTGATATGTGTCTGGATAACTTTCATTTGAAAAAATTTTTGGTAAGCTATTCTTTGCACAAGTTCATGACATTGTTCAGGTACTTCTATATTCAACTAAATTCCAGTTGCCAAGACTCTCCGTGATATATTGTCTGGTTCTTGATTTTCTTTGAATGAACAGTTATAGAGAATTAAATATATGGGTTGTTCAAAAATTGTCACCATCTCCCTTTACCTATAGACTAGCACTGTGTTTAACCCAACTTCCAGTAATTTTGATGATGCTATTTTCTTTTGCTGGAATCCCTTCCTTTGTTTTCTCCATCTAGCATTCATCTGTAGTCCCAACCCTGCTCCCTTCAACTGTATCAGTCCATCTGAATCTCAACTCTTTCTGTACTCAATTGAATTTAAGTTGGTACCACTTAGTGTGCAATTGTTCTAATTATACCATGCATCTTTTTCTTCTTTTCAACTAATTGGAAAGCTCATTGAAAACAGAAAGGACATATTGAGCTTGCATAAATTCTTGCTTACTGATTAACAACATACACTTTACAATTTACTTAACAAGCTATGAGTATTTAATAACTTGAAAGATTGTAATGGTCACTATTTGAAGATAAATTTTGTTGAAAACCAATACTGCAACCCTTAGGTAAATTAGAAATCTCTTGGCTTTAAAACAAGTGTTTTTCAAATACTGCATTGTTAATTAATGCAAACCATGACTGTTTCTGACTTCTGATTTCCAAAATGCATGGGGAAGTCACACACCTGCTTGTGTGTTACCACAAGGCCTAATTGGCTTTACTTTGACATTCTTGCATTTCCTCATCTGCCTTTGGCATAGCTTTTAGTAATTAGAACAGCTATTTCCAATGTCATAACTAGGGCAGTGAAACCTAATGCAGCTGGTTTGGGACATGGGGATTTTCCACCTCGGTGATTTGGAAACTCCCTGCAAGCTCAGAATTAGGTCTTAGAAACACTATAACTCTGGTGCCACACAGTGGGTACAAAAGTGATTATGGTTCTAAGAGATACTCCCCAGACCCCAAAATCCAGAGATCAATATAGAGATGGTGCAAAAGTCTCCTTCCATAGGAATATTGAGGAATCTTTTTTAAAAAATATTTATTTATTTATTTGAAAGGCATAGTTGTTATAGAGAGGCAGAGGCAGAGAGAGAGAGAAAGAGAGGAGAGAGAGAGAGAGGGAGAGAAAGATGTCTTCCATCTACTGGTTCACTTCCCAGATGGCTGCAACGGCCAGAGCTGCACTGATCGGAAGCCAGGAGCTCCCTCTGAGTCTCCTATGTGGGTGCAGGGACCCAAGGGCTTAGGCCATCTTCTACTGCTTTCCCAGGCCATATAGCAGAGAGCTGGATGGGAAGTGGAGCAGCTGGGATATAAACCAGCGACTACATGGGATGCCGGCACTGCAGGTGGCCCCAAGGAATCTTAATCCAGGTGGAGATACAGTTCTCTAAATTCAATATAGATTTATGGGTAGTTCTCAGTGATAGGTGTGTGTGTGTTCTGTAGAACTTCTGATTTTTTGAGATTTTTCTGAATATAATGTAGGATAGTTCTAGTTCATTGGTTTTCAGATTGTGGTTTTGTGGTTCCCAGACATCAGCATCAGCATGATTTGGGAATTTGTTTGGAATGCAAATACTGGGGCTCCACCCCAGACCTACTTACTACATCAGAGCGTTTGCTGGTAGGTCCAAGGAGTCTGTTTTAACAAACCTACTAGTTGGTTCTGATTCATGTTAAAGCCTGAAAATTGCTTTTAAATTCATCATATTCTTGTAGATTAGGAAATTAAGGACCTGGTGAAAACGACTTGATCTAGGACATACAGCTTGTAAGTGCTTGTAAATGTATTTCTCAATCCATGTTGAAGGCAAAGTACTGATACATACATACATACATATATATATGATATATATATATCACAGCTTATTGTAATATGAATCTTTTAAAGAAATCTTTATTTATTTATTTATTTGAGAGAGAGTCAGAGGCAGAGAGAGAAAGTTTTCCATCTGCTGGTTCACTCCCCAACTGGCCACGATGGCCTGAGCCGATCTGAAGCCAGGAGACAAGAGCTTCTTCCAGGTCTCCCACACGGGTGCAAGGGCCCAAGCACTTGGGCCATCCTCTGCTGCTTTCCCAGGCCATTAGCAGGGAGCTGGATTGGAAGTGGAGCAGCCAGGACTCAAACCATCACTCATGTGGTGCTGGCTCTGCAAGCAGTGGCTTTTTTTTTTTTTTTGACAGGCAGAGTGGACAGTGAGAGAGAGAGACAGAGAGAGAAAGGTCTTCCTTTGCCGTTGGATCACCCTCCAATGGCCGCCGCTGCAGCCGGCGCACTGCGCTGATCCGATGGCAGGAGCCAGGATCCAGGTGCTTTTCCTGGTCTCCCATGGGGTGCAGGGCCCAAGCACCTGGGCCATCCTCCACTGCACTCCCTGGCCATAGCAGAGAGCTGGCCTGGAAGAGGGGCAACCGGGACAGAATCCGGCGCCCCAACCGGGACTAGAACCCGGTGTGCCGGCGCCGCAAGGTGGAGGATTAGCCTATTGAGCCACGGCGCCAGCTCGCAAGCAGTGGCTTTACATGCTATGCCACAGCCTCTCTGTGCTATATTTTATCTTCCCGATTTTCAAAGCTATTTTTGTGTTAAAATGGGGGTATTTTTTTGTCAAATAAATATCTCAAATTAAGTTTTGGAGCAACATAATATTTTTATTTAGTCCCTTTGAACTTTTAAATTAAATATATTAACATATAAAATCTAAAGTTTTAAAAAGTGCTCAGTAATTGAGCTTTGTCAATTGTATACACTCATGCAGTAATCATTCAGACTAAGATACAGAACATCTTCATTACCCTAGAAAATTCCTGTGTCTTTCTGCAGTCAGTTTCACCCTCTTACCTTGCAGCTACTTCCTGATTTCTATTACTAAAATCACTTTTCCTTTGTTATACGTCAATAAATGAAATCACACAGGAGGTATTCATTAACTAGTATATGACTCGTCTTTAAGAGTTCATATACTCTTGTTGTATGTATCAGGGTTTGTTCTTTTTTATTGTTGGTTAGTATTACATTGTTGGCTATACCAAAATATGTCTATCCTTCCTTTTTCTTAGTAACAAATATTTTTTTTTCTTATGACGAAAGCAATACATACTTATGGTAGAAAATCACAAATTACAAATTAAGTAACAAAGAAAATAAATATCTATATTTATATAGACATTTATAATCACTACTAGTAAGTTATTGCATATCTCCTTTAGACCTTTGTTTATATAAGTTGTCCACTTATTATTATATAAATATTTACCATTCCTATTATGGAAATTCCCATTTTAGGTTCAAATCTTACTCACTTAGATCCGATATTAGTGATAGATTGGCATAACCTTTAATCTGTTCTCTAAATTAAGATTTAACAGTAATACTTGAATACACAGTCATTGCCAAAAATTGAAATGATATGCAATATTCGGAATAAAAAGACTACACCCTCATTTAACACAACCCTGTTCCTCACCCCTCAAAGTAGCCAGTGTTAACTAACTGCAAAATCTTAACCTAGAAAATACTAATAAGGATTATGAAGTGCTGAAATTATTATCATATAATTTTTCTTCTGAGTTTTATATTTTTGTTTTGTTATCTACACACTAGTAACTTTTTAGTTGCAATTACATTATTATATGACACTAAATGCTCATGTTAGGACTAGTTCTATGATAGCTTACTGTCTACTTTGTGATAAAGTTTTTAAATATTTTCTCTAGGATAGGATAGTGTGCTGTTTAAATTTTCTTCGATTGCTGGGTGGGAATATTATTTCTACCTGCTGTTAGAAGTATATCTATATCTGTATATCTTTTATCATATTCATCTTTACTTATTTTCTTCAAGATATATCACCTTTTCACCATTTGTACTGATTTGTACTTCTATATAGTTATTTTTATATTATCATTGAAGTTTGAAGACTATCACATGCAAAATCTTATTAAAGTAATAGAGCATAATACAAAGTATTATTTCAGGGCTTGCTGCTAAATGATTGAGAAATGTTCATTAGCATTTTCCACACGGGAAAATAGCCACTTGCATTGACAAAGATGGGACCCTGATTAACGTTTTAATTAGCACTTTTATGGGCCATTCGTCCTGGTTGCTCTTCAGGATAACAGTTATAACAGGGTAGAGCAGGCCCATCTAGGTGTCCATCAGCCAGAGTGTGTTCAGAAACCCCTTGCCTTTCTAGAGATCACTACAGATGCCAAAGATCTTTGCTTAACAAAAGAAGTGAAGCAACTTTGAAACGCACATATCTAGAGGCAAGCAAAAAAGCAGCTGTAGCTTTACTTAGAATTACATTTTACAGTCGTTTTGGGGTTAACATATGTATTTTTAGGTGAAATTACAGATAGAGAATTCTGTTAGCCTTCTAAGCCCAAAGTTCTGAGGACTGTCCTTTATTCTCTCACAATGGAGCGGTAGGATTTTGTTTTGGTCATTAGAACAATATATGCAGAGCCCCATGATGTTCTAAACTGCTTTAAAATGTTCAGCTATTAAAACAGCAACAATATTAGCTATTTCCTAATGAGCTAAACATTATTAAAACATTTCCCTGAAACCACCTCGGTTAATCCTCAGAAAGGCAGCTAGGTGTCTGATAAGCTTAGGAGTTTGGGCTCAGACGTATGGCCAGTGTCCTGCTCTGGGGGACTCCAGGTACTGCTGAGGTTACTGTTCCTCCTGGCTGGTGTCTGTCTGCGTGCTCCTTCAGCCAGGGAAGACTTCCTCATTGCCAATGGCTGGTGGCACCTGCGCATTCCACCTCGGCGGAACTCCAGCTTCTGTCCTCTCGGTGTGCATTCCGAGTTCCAGAGCCGAGGTGGGGGGCGGCGGGGGCGCTGAGGGTTGTTCAGTCCAGCCCTAACTCTGAAGACAGCAGCACTCCCGGGACTTTCGGCTCAGGCTTTTGTGTGAACCTTCGTCTACCCTCTCCGTCTCCTAAACAAACACCGAGCCCGAAGGTGATGTTGATCTCGTCTCAGGTGGCTACGTTCTTGAAAAAGCCATTTTCTCTTCAGAATCCTGGTTGACCAGATGCATTCACAGGGTCTTTGATGGACTCTCTCAGGAACTGCTTTGTGCTCTGATTTTATCTAACGGCAAAGCACTCGGGTTTTAACAGCCTTCCCCTCTCCCGCCCAACATCTGGGGGAGAAACGTTTGTCCTCGCTTTTTCGGCTCTCCCAACGGTCGAGCGAACGGTTAAGCCTCCTAAAACCCGCCCCACCAGCCCTCCGCGGTCATCAACCCTTCCCCCACCGCCTCAGCCGCCCCGAGGCCTTTCGATGCCGGCCCGGGGCCGGGTCTGGAGAGGAGAAGGGGCTGCGGGCGGGAGGCGGCGGCGCGCAGCGGTACCTAGTGGCGCCGCCGGGCTGCTTCATCCAGGGTACGTGGCACTGCCCGGGGACAGGGGGGGAGGGGATTTGGCAGGAACCTCGGACACCCTTCAGAGGCGGCATCCTTGAGGAGATCGGTGCGCCTTTTTTTGGCAGGAACTTAACAGATGAAAGTGGCCTTTTCCAGGACGGCGTCCGTCCGTTCCCACAGCGAGCCAGCTCTGCGTTCCACCGCGAGCGTCGGCCGCCGGGTCTGGGGCAAAGTGTGTGTGTGTGTTGGGGGGGAGACTCGCCATCCCGCATGCGCAAAGCGGGGAGCCGCCCGCCCGGACTACAGCTCCCAGAGGAACCTCCCGGAGGTCGCAGGCGCCGAGCCGTCGTCGCCATCTTGAAATCTGATCTTCCATCGCCCAGGCTTTGCGTCAGCGGCGGGCGGCCGCTAGGGTGCCGGGAACCGGGCCGGCTCGCTGAAAGGGGACGACGCCTGGGACGCGGCCGCTGGCGGGCGAGACAGCTGTGGGAGACGCGGAGGGGTCCGAGCGCGGCCTGCGCCGCTGTCACTCAGCATCCCCCTGAGGCGTTTCCACGCCCGCCCCCTGCCCGAGGGGCGGGGCTGAGCACGCTGGTACCCAGAGCCGGCGCGCGGGTGGCGGAGGCGCGCCCCTACGGAGCCCGCACCTCAGGGCTGTGCCATGCAGGCGGGAGACCACCGAGGCGGGAGGCGGAGCGCAGCCCGGGGCTGGTGAGCGACCCCCCAGCCGCCGTCGTCGCCGGGAAGCTAGGTACCCGCTAGGAGCGAAGATGAAAGAGATTTGCAGGATCTGTGCCCGGGAGCTGTGTGGAAACCAGCGGCGCTGGATCTTCCACACGGCGTCCAAGCTCAACCTCCAGGTTTTGCTGTCGCACGTCCTGGGCAAGGATGTTTCCCGCGATGGCAAGGCCGAGTTTGCTTGCAGCAAGTGTGCGTTCATGCTTGATCGGATTTATAGGTTCGACACCGTTATTGCCCGGATCGAAGCCCTTTCCATCGAGCGCTTGCAGAAGCTGTTGCTGGAGAAGGATCGCCTCAAGTTCTGCATCGCCAGCATGTATCGGAAGAATAACGACGACTGCGGCGCCGAGATCAAGGCGGGGAACGGCACGGTTGACATTTCCGGCTTGCCCGATGTGAGATACTCCGCTCTGCTCCAGGAAGACTTTGCCTATTCGGGCTTTGAGTGCTGGGTGGAAAGTGAGGATCAGATCCACGAGCCGCACAGCTGCCATGCCTCGGAAGGCCCTGGCAACCGACCCAGGAGATGCCGTGGCTGTGCAGCTTTGCGCGTTGCCGACTCTGACTATGAGGCCATTTGTAAAGTGCCTCGAAAGGTGGCCAGGAGTATCTCCTGTGGCCCTTCCAGCCGCTGGTCTACCAGCATCTGCACTGAAGAACCAGCGCTGTCAGAGGTCGGGCCCCCGGACTTGGCGGGCACAAAGGTGCCCCCGGATGGGGAAAGCATGGAGGAAGGGACGCCGGGGTCCTCTGTGGAGTCTTTGGATGCAAGTGTCCAACCTAGTCCTCCTCAACACAAGGACGAGGAGGCGGAGAGGAGTGCGAAGGAGCTTGCGAAGTGTGACTGCTGTGCAGACGAACAGGCTGCACAGCATGTGTGTAGCCACAAGCTGGAGCTAGCGCTGAGCACGATTAAAGGGCTTGATTATAAGCCCATCCGGAGTCCCCGAGGGAGCAAGCTTCCTGTCCCAATCAGATCCAGCCCACCTGGAGCCAAGCCTGGCCATATCATGACAGATGGAGTTAGTTCCGGTTTCCTTAACCGGTCTTTGAAACCCTTTTACAAGACACCTGTGGGGTATCCCTTGGAGATTTCAGACCTGCAGGAGCTGTGGGATGATCTCTGTGAAGAGTATTTGCCCTTACGGGTCCAGGTATAAAATGGCTACCCAGTGCCTTTCTGATTGCAGCTAGCTGGCCTCACGCTTCGCATGATCTCTGTCTAGAATGGAGATTAATGCTATTGTATGCTTGGGAAAACTGAACATGGAGTCCACTTTTGCTGCACCTTTTGTGTATGTCCCAGTTAGTAAATGTGAATCACACTCAGATAATTTGCTTTTCCCAGTTCTTTTGTAACACTATCTGTTGGCCTTTTCATTTATTATCAGAATTGCATACCCTTGTTTTATACAAGAACATGAAGATTTCCTTCCCATTGATTTAGCCTATGAAAGGATGACATTCAATCTGACTTCTGGCATTAGAACTTCTCTCTTACCTCCTTTCTTCTCCCTGTCCCCCTACCTTTTTCTGTTTTGATTTTAAAGTTATAGATATTTCTCTCTTTGGCTTTCTGTAAGGGAGTTAGTTCTCCCTGGAGCAGTAAACCTTTCATCCCTCACATGACTGAAAATGATTAGAGTTTAGGGTAAGCATTAGGGGAAAACCTATTGATTAGTCAATAAAGTATTATGATATTTGGGCTGTATTATATTTAATTAATGATACTTGTTCATGAAAGAGCCTTTGGAATTCTGGTATGACCACTCAAAATGTTAAGGCAGAAACTGCACAGCTAGTCTGTCTACTGAGCCCTACTAGAAGATAGTTGATATTAAGAAATAATGTCAATTACTTGATTATAGTTTCATCCATTATACTCTAACATTTGTCAGTCACTAGAGAATGGCAGATGATTTTAATCTGAGTTACTTATATTCAGTTGATTTCACACCAGCCTTTTCAATTCAGCTGTAAACAGAGATCAGCCAGATGCTACTTTGTTTCTATAGCAATAGTAAATGCTAGGATCAGTTAACTTCAGGAAGCATTCTGGCAGGTTCCACTTGATAGACATTTTTCAGTGATAGCATTACAAAGGTAAGGAATCAAGAAGGCATTTAGAATGCCAACATCATTCTATTTTGATAACAGATAAAATTGTTCTTACATGAAATTTTTGAAAAGTGGTATATAAAGTTTGTGTTACAATAAGAATTAAAGCAGAAAATGAGAAAGGTTTTTAAATTTACACAGAATTATCAGAAACAGTATACAATGGTACTTCAAAAAGTTTGTGGAAAATAGCCTTAAAAGCATGAATTTGAGTGCAAAAAATTTTGAAATGTCTGCATAGTTTTTTCATAATACTCATTTTTCTGTATATCATAGCATTTTTTTGTACTGAAGTAAACTCATTTTTAATTCCACTTTCCTGTGAACTTTTTGAAGTGCCCTTGTGTATCAATATGAAAATATTAGGAGAAAGTAAAAAACAATTAATAGGTTTTCATTTGTAGACAGTGTTAAGTATTGTATATCTAATATTGTGTTCTTCTTTTCTTTTACTTATTTTTCTTAAGTGAAGCCTCATGGCTAAGTTTGGGCCTTACAGTATTTCTGTGACCCGACATAAATGTTAACAAATCAAATATCATGTTCTTGTATTAGGATCTAAAAGTAGACTGAGCAGGGTGGGAGGGAAATAAGTTGTTTTCCCCTCACAGATATAGCCAGTATTATAGAACATTATGGGCATTTTCTTCCATATTTAATTAAAAATACTCTTTTTGAGTGCCTGGAATTTTGGAATTGGTAAAACTTTTTAAAGATCATCTCATGTTATCACTCATTGTAGAGATATGGAAAGCTTATGGTTTCAGTATCTTAGTCCTTGCAGAGTCAAAAATTGCTGTTTTCGGCCAAGACCTTTAAATTCTGTACAGTAAAGTACAGTGCTTCCGGTATATTGGCTTTTAAGCCAGGAGCTCTCTTTATATACCTCAGGGATTCCAGGAGGATTCTTGAGAGGTTTTTGTCAAGGAAATTGTCATCCAAGTGAGCACAAGTGGGCACTGTGTCCTGAGGTTGGACCCTGTCCTTCACTAAGGTTGGACAGTAGAGCTCTGACATAGTGTATGCTCTTTCTGCTCTCACCTGGCTTCTGTCCTCTTTGTGGAATAATAAAACAGGAGGAGGAGGGAGAAATAGTATTCAGCTCCAAGAAATGTGGTGTTTCAGTCCTGTGCGGTTTCCTGTAATAATTAGTATGTGAGGTAGAAAATAGATAAATTGGGTTCAGTGTTTTTGTAAATAAGGTGTGCATTTTATTTTGGATACCTGATCTGTTCTTTAAGTCTGGTTGACTTTTAAGCTCCTTAAGGGCTGCTGTGCTTTCAGGCAAAACCAGAGCTAAGTGGGACAAAGGCAGACTGGTTTTTGTCTGTTTCTCTGCACAAATATTGAAAGGATAGAAATAAGTAAATTCCTTTCAGCTCTCTTTTTAGTTTGTAGAGAGAAGAAAACATGAAAGAAAAATTCTTTAGTTAAATTCTACTTACATAAGAAGAAAACCTATTATGCTAGAGAGTGAGATGGTTCTGTTAGGTCCTTTTGAGTCCTTTGTTTAATCCTCCACTTACCCCATTGTACGCACTATTAAATATCAACATCAGAATCCTTCCTGATTGCCTCTTATTTTTCTTTATTTTTTTCCCCTCTCCTTCCTTCCTCTCCTCTCCTCTCCTCTCCTCTCCTCTCCTCTCCTCTCCTCTCCTCTCCTCTCCTCTCCTCCCCTCCCCTCCCCTCCCCTCCCCTCCCCTCCCCTCCCTTCCCCTTCCTTCCCCTCCCCTCTCCTCTCTATATTAATAATAGCAACCATGAAGTTCTCCTACTTTCTCATTTTCTGCTATTATACAAAATTATTTATCATTGATAGTTTCCTTCTTTACTGTTTGGCTTTGGTTCAGAAAAGCTATAATAAGGAGATGTATGGTCTTTTAGTGAACAGCAATTTAGAGAGCCCTGGCCTGTGTGCTTTTCCCTTCGTTCTAAATTCAAAGAGTAGATCCTTGCTTCAATCCTTGTGATGCTAAGAGCTGTTGTTTGTGGCAATGGTAAATTTATCCCACTCATAGCTTAGCTGTGCTAAGTAGATCAAGCCCTTTGGAAGGTGTTGACATTAGATGCTGACCAAAGATTAGTTCTAATTTTATGCTAGTTGGTAGTTCTTGTCTGTCTCTTAATATTAACAATAAGATAAAAAAATTATAGCAGTTGGGGCCTATGACTCACTGTTGTGAGGACTAGAAGGTGCCACGAAAAATACTGTTTATGCAGAAGTTCTAAATAACTGCATTTTAGCCCAAGGTTTTACATTAAGCAACAGTGGCCTCAGAAGCCGTGCTCATGTCTGATGCTGGAAAGCATTTGTGTAAACTCGGAGCCAAAAGTGACTTCATTTAAAACTGTATTATTAAGGATCTGTTTGTCTACGGAGTAAGACTGATTCCGCCAAATCAAGTATTACTGATTTTTGGCCCTTTAAAATCTTTGTAGGAGTGATTGGTTTCTGTCCTTGGCACTTCACAAGGATTGACTGTGAGTTGTTGACCCAGGGGAACTTGCTAAGTGCTCTTTGGCAGCCTGTTATCTGAAAGGATATTTTTCTGAGAAGTAAAATTGCAAATTATTACAAATAAACAAGAAGCTTTCAGCTTTTAAGTTAATAGATTAGATTAATAGAATTAGGGGTTTCTTATGATTATTCATGGCAAGATGGGTTCAGATAAGATCTAGATTCATTATATACTTTTCTGTGGCATTCTTTGGCTTTAAAATTTCTGTTTTATATGTGCACATATATTTTTCTTTCTTTTTTCTTATTTGTAAGAGCCACTGAAGGGTTAGAACCTTAGACTGAGAATTAGGAGACAGCCTTACTTGTGTTTATGTTTTTTTTTTTTTATTCTTGTTCATGAAACAAAAGCTTTGGGTCCCTATAATATTTTTGGCATTGAAGGGGGCAATGGGTTGATAGAAATAAAAGATACATTACTGTGCATTCAGTTTAATTGGATCCTTTTCCTGACTTCCTAAGTAACCTTGGACAACTTAGTTGCCATCTGCAAGTTTCCATTTTCTTGTATGTAAAATGGGATCAGATCAGATAGTTAGTTGATAAAATTTCTTTCAAAGTTCTAAGATCTTTTGTTTTAAAGTGAATACATATGACCACCTTCCCTACCATTTTAATCTTGCAGCTATTTTCTTTAACTCTGTTACAGTTTAAATTCCAAAAATGTCTTATAGTAGATGTTATTGGAAAGTTGTTTTACCCTGAGGAAGTAAAAAGCCAAATTTTATAGAGAATATTTTATCATTATATACATGATAATTTTTTTAATAAATTAGAATTGTTATAAATATCTATGGAATTATAACCTCCCCCATGTTGTGACACAATTCATGCTGCTTCAGGGGAAGACTCCTTGTTGTAACCCACAACAACAAAGACTTTTATTTTTTAAGATTTATTTATTTGAAAGGCAGAGTTACAGACAGAGAGGAAGAAGACAGAGAAAGGTCTTCCATCTGCTGGTTCACTCCTGCCTCCGTAGTGGCAGGAGCTGGGCCAATTCGAAGCCAGGAGCCAGGGGCTTCTTTCAGGTCTCCCATGTAGGTGCAGGGGCCCAAGGACTTGGGTCATCTCCTATTGCTTTCCCAGGCCACAGCAGAGAGCTGGGTTGGAAGTGGAGCGGCCGGGACTTGAACTGGCACCCATATGGGATGTCAGAACTGCAGGCAGTGGCTTTACTCGCTTTGCCACAGCACTGGCCCTAAAAACAAAGATCTTGACATTGTTTTTTCTAAGAGTCCTTCTTGTTTCTCTTTTTCTGTTTGTCCACCATCCAGTCCCCCAGCCGTAGCTGTGATTCCACAATGTGTTCAGGTCTTTCCATTTCTCTCCCCTGCACTGTAATCCTAGCCCTGTTATCCCTCACTTGTGTGACTGCAGCAGCCTCCTTGCCCTTCTCTGCATTTCTACTGGTGCTCCCCAGCAATCCATTCACCACTAAGCCAAGAAGAATGATCTTTTGAACATCTGATTATGATTACTCTTCTGTTATGCACACCGTAGCCCACTCTCAATTCAATTAGAATGAAATCCGAGTTCATTAACTCTGCTGTCCAAAGCCACATGTGACCTGGGTGCTGTCTACCTATATACCTCATGGTATTACACTTTTCTTTGCCCATTGTTCTCTGGTCCTGTGCTGTCCATAAGCTAGCCACTATTCTTAGGTGGCCATAGAACACTGGAAATACAGCTAGTCTGAATCAAGATATGCCGTGTCAAACGTGCCTCGAATTTTAAAGTCTTCATCTGAAAAAATTATGTAAAATATCTAAACAATGTTTATATTGATTCCATGCTTATGATATTTTGTATATATTGGGTTAAAGTATTAAATTTATTTTTTAAGTTCTTTTTTTTTTTTTTTTTTACTTTCTCCAATGAAATGATTAGAAAGTTAAAAGTTCCATATGTGGCTCACATTATGTTTCTGTTGGAAAGCACCACCCTAGCCACATGGGCCATCCTCTTTCCCAGACTCACGCTCTGCTGATCTTCTGTAGGACTGGCTCCTTTTCATTCAGATCTCTATTTAAATGCTGCCTCACAGAGACCTTCCCTGACTAATTTAATCACCTGGCTGCCAACTCTCTGTCCTGCTTTCCTGTTTTACTAGAGGGGTTTGTCACTGTCTGCTATTTTGTATATTTCTTTATTATATAGCTCCCCATTCCAACCCCTGAAAATATAAGTTTCAAGGGAACAGGGACTTGGTTGCTCCAATACAGTACTCCATTTCTAGGTAATGGTATCGTTTGGAAGTCAGTGTTTTGTATGCACTAGCCCTACATTTTCCTCTCTCTTTTCTCTTCTTAGAATGGCTTTCCTCATCCACCATAGCCTCCTGTAAAGATCCTCTCCAGATTAAATTTTGTGTCCCCCAAGAAGCCTTTCCTATACTTCTTTTGAAATGAGTGTTTTTCTTCTCTATTTTCATGATATTACTACTTCCTCAGTAGACTGAGATGGTTTGGAGCCAGGGCGATGTGTTAGTCAACACTGAATTTCTCACATGCTGCTGCACATGTTACAGCAGTTATTGATGCTAGGAAGTTTCATAAGTAGTACTAGAGGAATAGGAAATATTTTTCTTCTAAACTCTGTATTTCCAGTCACTTGCTTGCAGGAAGAGTTTTAAAATATCTTGTGATTCCCCTGTCTGGAAGGTGATAAAGGGTGAAAGTGTAAAAGAAAAAATGAATAGCAGCTGTCCCCCCCCCCCCCCCCCCCGCCCCCTTTCCTAATTGGATTGCTGATTGGAGTGGAAGAAGGTATGGCGAGAGGAGGTGAAATTTAATGCCACAGAGATTTCCCTAAAATTCAAAATTACAACCAGGGCGAATGATGATTATTAAGTTCAATAAGTTTATCTTAGTCTGATTGTCTTAGTGAATTGATATTCTTATAAAAAGCCCCACCTTCCCTGACCACTGTGGATTATTTATCCAGACATGTGCTATAAATCTATCTTTAAATAGGCATATGTTTTACATTTAAGTCTTTTTCCTTTTTATTTTGGAATGATTCAGGTATACAGGGAGGTTGCAAGAGAAATACAAAGAACCACCCTTACTAGGTTTACCAGTAGCTAATATTTTGCCACGATTGCTTTATCCCGCTCTTTTTGTTTAGGCATGTTGCTATTATTTTTTAAAATCTTGGAACCATTTGGGAATTAGTTGCAGCTATAATAGCCTTTACCCTAGATACTTAAACATGTATTTCCTAAGGACAAGGATATCTCTTACACAACTGCAATGAAATCACCAAACTGAGGATATTAATACTGGTAAAATGCTATTGTCTAATACAGAGTCCATATTCAAAATCTGCCATTTTTTTCCAGTAATGTGAACAGGCATGTTTTAAGAAAGGTTAATTGGAATATTATACTTCCTCTCTTAGGAATGATGTGTTTGCTTAGTCTTTCCGATTCCCTGATGCAAAATGGATAAAGCAAATATTTGACTATTGTAAGCATTTTCTTTTGTAACTCCCTCCCTTCTCTTTAAACACTGAAGTATTTGCTGAGTGAATACGTATATTTGTATGGGTGGGTAGGGAAGGGCAGGGAGGGAAGGGGAGGGACAGGGCATAGTAAGGATGGAATGGAATTGGTGCTCTTTTTTTTTTTTAACACTATTTTTTCCCAAAGATGTATTTATTTGAAAGGCAGAGGTTTATATTTATATATAGAGAGAGATCCTGGGAGAGACAGACAGATTTTCCATCTGCTAGTTTACTCCCCAAATGGCTGCAACAGCTGGGGCTGGGCCAGGCTGAAGCTGGGAGCCTTGAACTCCATCAGGTGTCCCACATGGGAGGCAGGGGCTCAAGTACTTGGACCATTTTCTGCTGCTTTCTGAGGCACATCAGCAGGGAGCTGTGAACAACCAGTGCTTATATGGGATGCCAGCATTGCATAACCACAAGGCTGGCACCAGAGTTGTTGCTCTAATAAGGAACAGGACTGTCTTCAGGAAACCTTGTAGCTATTTCACACAACAGCTCCAATCTTCCAGGTCTCTGGCAAAAGATGCCTCACACATTTGAATATGAAGATAGCATTTATTGTTGGCTTCATTTAATTCAACTTGTCTCACTACTTCTTCTTAGCCCATGTCTGAAGAGTTACTCAAACAACAAAAGATGAATTCAAATGAGACCACTACAACTCAGCAATCTGTACCTGATTCCCACTTGGCAGAACTCCAAGAAAAAATCCAACAAACAGAGGCCACCAACAAGGTATGATGAATTCTATGCCCTTGGAGATCACCTGGATTTTCTGAGATTGTGCTGGCTCTAGCTTGAGCCTGTTAACCTGGATAGGACGTGGGAGATGAATTCTGTGGACTCCTAGTGCTCTAGGGAATATTTCACTTAAAGGTATAGGCTTCCGTCCCTCCATCCCTTCCTTCCATCCTTCCTTTATTTATTTACTTGAAAGACAGAGTTACACAGAGAAAGGAGGGGCAGAGAGAGAAAGAGGTCTTCCATCTTCTGGTTCACTCCTCAATTGGCCGCAAACGGCTAGACCCGCGCCAATCCGAAGCCAGGAGCCAGGAGCTTCTTCCAGGTCTCCCACATGGGGGCAGGGGCCCAAGGACTTGGGCCATCTTCTACTGCTTTCCTAGGCCATAGCAGAGAGCTGGATTGCAAGTGGAGGAGCTGGGACTCAAACTGGTGCCCATATGGGATGCTGGCACTACAGGCGGCGACTTTTACCTGTTACGCCACAGCGCCGGCCTCTCCCTTTCTTTCTTATCTAGATTTTACTTGCTCTATACAGACCACAATTTCTGGTGTGCCTTTTAGGTGTATGATTATAACTTGTGTTATAATAAGTCTTTAACTGTAAAAGGTGCCTGGACAGGAAGTTTGTGCTTTTTGGTTTAGCTTAACTTCTTACCCTTTTATGGCCCATGGATTTAAAAATGTTTTCTGAGAAGAAAATTGCTACAGTATGGGATGCCAAACTTCTGGCCTGGTGTGCCATTGTAGCTTCCTGTTCTGTGCTGGACAGCAGATGCTCCTTGGTCCATGTTTAAGGGTCCCACAGTAACTCTTGTGGATAAGTGCCCGAAATGACAGACATCAGAGTGTAAACAGCGTGTGAGAACTGAGGCAACTGTGTCTTAAAGCACGTATTTCATTTTCCCTGCAGCTTTCTTTTGCTTAGTGAGTTAGGACCTTATCAGTTACTGTATGTGGAAAAAACTAAACAAGATGATTTCTCCCAAGGAATTATTTAAACCCTTGGTTTGAGGAAGACTTTATGATTGCATTTGTGGTTAAAATAAATCATTGACCTAAAAAGCTAATTTTCTTTGCTGAATTCAGATTCTTCAGGAGAAACTGAATGAAATGAGCTGTGAACTAAAGTCTGCTCAGGAGTCATCACAGAAGCAAGATGGTACCATTCAAAGCCTCAAGGAAACTCTGAAAAGCAGGGAAAATGAGGTAAAGTACTTAGCAATCAAGGACCTTTGAGGAACTGATTTGTCCCATTCAAATGGACAGATATTTCATATTTTGTAGAAATGGGTGTTGTCAAACTAACCCATTTTAGAAATTCTAGCGTAATCTAAATTGGTATTTTGGAATAGTTCTGTAGCAGGCAAGATAATGGAGTTTATACTCATTTTTCTACCATGTTGAATACTCCTCTCATTTTCAGACTGAGGAGCTGTACCAGGTGATTGAAGGTCAAAATGACACAATGGCCAAGCTTCGAGAAATGCTGCACCAAAGCCAGCTCGGACAGCTTCAAGTATGTGAGGGTCACATGGGACAGGAGAGACTGCTGTTCTTGGTTCCGGCCTTGACTTTGTCTTTATTGTCTCCTCCCTGTGACTATGGTTTCTCCTATCCTTTCAGAGCTCAGAGGGTGCTGCTCCGGCTCAGCAACAGGTGGCTCTGCTTGATCTTCAGAGTGCCCTGTTCTGCAGCCAGCTTGAAATACAGAAGCTCCAGAGAGCGGTGCGACAGAAAGAACGCCAGCTGACCGACGCCAAGCGGTGTGTGCAGTTCGTAGAGGCTGCGGCACAAGAGAGAGAGCGGCAGAAAGAGGCTTCTTGGAAACATAACCAGGTAAATCATTAGCCATTTTGTAGCCCTGAACGCTGACTTTGCCCTGATAATAACTTTTTAGCAGGACAGTTGGTGCTGAACCCTTGAGTCGATTACTTAACCTAAGTAATTCAGTTCAGCATTGGTTGTCCCCGTGACCCGATGCCAGGCATTAGGCTGTGTTCTCGAAATGTAGGGGTGAATATCACAGGCTCCTTCCCATAAAGTCATAATTAATGTGAGAGACAATCGTATAAACAGAATCTCAGTGTGGTAAATGCTGAAGGGGGTGTCTGTGTGGTCCTGTAGGGGTCCCTAGGAGGCCAAGGAAAGAAGTCAGGGAATGCTTCATGAAAGAGAGAATAGCCGAGGTTAATCCTGAAGGTTGGATAGAAGTCAGCTAAACGAAAGGTGAGAAAGAACCTAGGCCAAAGGGATGCATGCACAATTCTAGTGGTTCCTTTCCCTTGCTAGCGTAGAGCCTCTGCTGGCTTTTTTTTTTTTTTAAGATTTCAAATATCTTTTTTTTGTTTGTTTGTTTGTTTGACAGAGTGGACAGTGAGAGAGAGACGAGAGAAAGGTCTTCCTTTACCGTTGGTTCACCCTCCAATGGCCACTGTGGCCAGTGCCCTGCGGCCGGTGCACCGCACTGATCCGAAGCCAGGAGCCAGGTGCATCTCCTGGTCTCCCATGGGGTGCAGGGCCCAAGCACTCGGGCCATCCTCCACTGTACTCCCGGGCCACAGCAGAGAGCTGGACTGGAAGAGGGGCAACCGGGACAGAATCCGGCACCCCGACCGGGACTAGAACCCTGTGTGCCAGCGCCACAGGCGGAGGATTCGCCTATTGAGTCGCGGCGCCGGCCTCTTTTTTTTTTTTTTTAAGATTTATTTTAAGTATTTGAAAGACAGAGTTACAAAGGGAGGAAGGGAGAGAGAGAGAGAGAAAGAGAGATTTTCCATCTGTTTTCTACTTTCCAAATGGCCACAATGGTTGGAGCTGGCCCAGGCAGAAGCCAGGAGCCAGGAGCTTCTTCCAGGTCTCCTGGGTGAGTGCAGGGGCCCAAGCACTTGGGTCATTTCCACTACTTTCCCTGGCTCATAAGCAGGGAGCTGAATTAGAAGTGGAGCAGCTGGACTTGAAGCGGCACCCATATGGGATGCTGGCACAGCAGACGGCAGCTTAACCTATTATGCCACAATGCCCACCCCTAAAGATCTTTTTTGTAGTGTAACTTTTTGTAAGCTCTTTAACATTTAGATTTAAAAATGTAGTTTTTGAAGAATCTCTGTGGTTTGGTAGTTTGGAGGTTAACTATTAGCCCTGAATTTCCATTAAAATATTAAAATTTCAGATATCTTGGCAGGGTTGGGGTTGCTGGTAGAGGGGATGGAATAATTCTTAACTTTTAAAATTTACCTAAATCACACATTTTCTTAAACGTTGTTGAATTGATAATTATTTGGGGACCATTTAAAGGAGCAGATGTTTAAAAGAATACTGATTTTATTATTAGAAAGATATTGTATATTGCAGACTAAGAAAGGTGAGTGATAGTCTTCATGAGGGTGATAGACGTATTCTGTCCTGTCCTTGAGCTTATTGTAAAGATTCCAGGCTTATAATGAGACAGATTCCTGCTTAGTGGCTGTATACATCTGTCTTCTTTAAATAAACTGAAAAAAAGTATTGAACCATACTCCATCCACGGTTTTCACAATATTCCACATCTTATTCATGTACTGTATAATATTCCTATAGCAGCTTTCAGCATAGCATTTTCTGCTACTTTATATTTCATTCTATGTACCTTGAAAGCTTTAAGACCTTCATAGCTATGACCATGTGAACATTTTAGACGGCTTTGAAAAGGGAATATGTTTAATTCAGGAATTGCGGAAAGCCTTACAGCAGCTTCAGGGAGAATTGCAGAATAAAAGCCAACAGCTTCGGACCCTGGAGATTGAAAAATACAGTGAGATTCGAAGCCAGGAGCAAAACATCCAGCACCTAAACCATAGTCTGAGTCACAAAGATCAGCTGCTGCAGGTAAGTGTCTGTGATTTCAACCTAAACTGGGGCTCATAGCGCTCCGAAATTCCTTTCCATAATCTCAAGATATTAATCCACTTGCATTGAGTACCTGCTACATGTAGAATACAGAATGGGAGGAATCAGGAGGGTTTGAAATAAACAGAAAATAGTTTTGTGAATCAAGATGCTGATCAGTAAATCTGAGGAACAGTACACATAGGCTTGAAAAGACTGAAGCAGTAAGTATTCAGCAGGTAGTTAGTATGGACCACTGTGAGTCAGGTGCAGTACCAGCTTTTGCCGTTGCTCTCAGTCAGTGAAGACCCCTGTACGGAAACTTCCAGAGTAGTTTAGGTGATGGATTGAAAGTTTTAGGGGACAACAGGGCGCTGAGAGAAGAGTGATCAGTTCTTCCATCTACTCTAAGCTTCAGTCACACTGAATCCTTTACATTTCCTTGAGTGCACAACTTTTTCAGATATGTGTATGTTGTGCATAATTTTTTTCTCTGACAGATAGACTCCCACCACCTCTTCACTTGGGAAATCCTCAGCGCTTGTTATCTCCTTGGTGCAGTCTTTACTGACCCCTTCAGGCAGAGCTGGGCAATACAGCCTGTGTTCCCCAGCATGTATGTTGTAAAAAGGTTACAATTCGATATGTATGCTCTATGTTGTAGAATATTCACACTGTATGTGTCTGATATTTCAGCTACACATGTTCCATTTGAGGAGAGTGATCACATTTTTTTTAAAACTCTGAATAACTAACAAATTACTTAGCAAAGTAGGAATTCAGTTGATATTGGGTAAATGAATCAAGGAAAATATTTTTTGGTCTCTTTAGGAATTTCAGGAGCTCTTACAGTACCGAGAGAACTCAGACAAAACCCTTGAAACAAATGAGCTGTTGCTTGAGAAGCTTCGGCAACGAATACAAGATAGAGCTGTTGCTCTAGAGGTGCGTATCTCACTGCTGTAGATCGCTCTGTCACTAAGGTACCACAGAGGTGTGCGACAACTTAATTTGCTTGTTTTGGGCATTGGTTTCCCACCATTTGTATTCTGAATCTTACTGAGTAAAGGCAGTCAGCACATGAGTTACAGAGCGTTAGAAGCCTTCCTCTCCTTACAGCGGGCTATCGATGAAAAGTTCTGTGCTCTAGAGGAAAAAGAGAAAGAACTGCGCCAGCTGCACCTTGCTGTGAGGGAGCGAGACCATGACCTAGAGCGGCTGCGTGGCGTCCTCTCCGCTAACGAAGCTACCATGCAGGTACGAGCAAATCTCCCCCTTGAACTCCGTAAGCCTGGAGCATCAGCCTCTCCCACCACTTGCTTATAAGGAAGAGTACACAAACAACCCAACGTAGCAGTCATTAGTTCTGTTGTTGTAGATTAGAAAGTAAGAAGTTTTGGCACATCAGCTTTCTTTTTTGTTATGAACTTTGTGGGGTGGGGCAGTAAATATTGACTTATATTTACATGGTTCTAATTTACTCCCAATCTTGTCTACACACACACACACGTGCACATACATACAAGCATTGACAAGGCATGACTGTTATATTGTGTTTTACTCATTAGTATTAATTATATGTCCATAGATTGCCATAATTGGGGCCTTTATTAATGTTTACTGTGGACTTTTCTTGCAGACTCATTGTAGAGCTTAAGTATCTAACTCTCTTTCACTGGTCCCCTACTTTCTCTGTAGCATCATGAAGTTCTTCCAGAAAACTGTATTTGTGTATGAGTAGTATTTGTCTCTCCACAAATAAGAGTTTCTAAAAACAAAAAATTAATGAGCATGGCACTGTTAGATGATATCTAAGTTTCCTCCTCTTGCAACAGAGCTGCTAGGCAATAATTTGGGAGATACTTGAACATGGATCTGATTGCTTATTTATCTTGAGGAGTGTGGGCTGCCCCTTTGACTGACGGTTGCTTTTTCTGTTACTGTAGAGTATGGAGAGTCTCCTGAGGGCCAAAGGCCTGGAAGTGGAACAGTTAACTGCTACCTGTCAGAACCTCCAGTGGCTGAAAGAAGAAATGGAAGCGAAATTCAGCCATTGGCAGAAAGAACAAGAGAGCATTATTCAGCAGTTACAGACATCTTTACATGACAGGAACAAAGAAGTGGAGGCAAGGCTTCAGTTAACCTAAAGGCAGTTGGTTTAGGGATGACATAGTCTCAGCCTTGAATTAGGACTCTTGAGATCTGGGAGGCCAGCAACCTCCATCTTTAATTTCATTATGTGCCTGGGCAAGCCATTGACTTTCACTGGGAGTGTTTTGTTCACATGTATAAGCCAAAAATGACAATTATCTTTCTCAAAGAAAGAGAACTAATGAGATCTGAATTAATGTGAGAATTAATGAGATCTGAAAAATACACCTACAATATTATTGCTAACCTTTACTAATTAGAGTATACTGATGCTGGATCAGGCACTGCTTTAAGAACTTAATGGCCGTTGGTGTACTGCTCCTCATAAGACTGTGAGGGACATGCCCTTGTCCGCATTTTATAGACAAGAAAGTCGGCTTCTGAAGTTAAGTAACTTGTTCAAGGTAACACAGCTCATTAAGTGGCAGAGCCAGCATTCAGCCCAGGCGGTTTGGCGCCGCAGTTTTAATCATCATGTGTTAGCTCTCAGGGTAGAAATGGGAACTGCATAATCATGCTCATAAATATAGTGCTCATTATTCCTTTTCAGTTTATTTCGTGCTTCCTCTACAAAGTGATCCTGGGGAGAAAATAAGTGAAATAAATGAACTGAGTGTACATTATTAATTAGTGTTGATCGTTTTGTACTCTGAGCAAATAGGAAAAGGACTTATTTCAGAAAACAATAGTAAGTTGCCATGATAGGGATTTTACTGTGTTGTTAGCATTCACTCACTGAACATATATTTACAGCCTTCTGTGTCACAGGACTGTGATAGATTTTGGGAAACAAAAATGAATAAAACAAGAATCTCACAGCTCTTTATTCAGCAATAGGTTTATATAAACCCCTTAATATGTGGTAGAGATATGTAGTAGTCTTCTGGATACTTACGTTGTCGCTTCTGTATTAGGATCTCAGTGCAACATTGCTCTGCAAACTTGGACCAGGGCAAAGTGAAATAGCTGAGGAGCTGTGCCAGCGTCTGCAGCGAAAGGAAAGGATGCTACAGGACCTCCTAAGCGATCGGAACAAACAAGTGGTAGAACATGAAATGGAGATTCAGAGCCTGCTTCAGTCCATGAGCACCAGGGAGCAGGAAAGCCAAGTAAGGGCTATTGCACGTATCAGAAAAGTGTCCCTTTGTGCATATGTGGTCTGTAAATAGGATGCCCTTGAAACTTACAACATGTATCTATCATTGCACAGTCAATTCTGTCAGTTTCTTTCCTTCATTTTATTAACCGGACTACAGCTTTACACTAAGCATCAAAGTGTGAAACATTTGTTGAGCACTCTATATTTGGAAGGGTGTCTACATGGTACATACATCCAATAACTTTATCATATGCACATATAGTGTGCTGTCTTAGAAAACTGTGAGGTTTAAAATGAAAGAAACAGGCTGTGGTGATTTTGAGGTCTGATTCCTATGATCATGTGGTATGATTGAAATAGTTATGTAATTGATTCATTTAGTCACTACTCTGTTGAGTACCTACTATGTGCCAGATACTGCTCTAGTGCTTGGGATTCAGTACCAAGTAAATTTGACCTTAAGAAACTTACATTCCAACTGGGGAGGAGAAAGAAAGAGATAGAGACAAAAAGAAGGAAAGATTTGAGATGTATCAGAAAATGGTAAGTACTTGCAAAAAATTAAACACAGCAAAGGGAATTAGGTGTAGAGTATACATTGCTGCTACCCCACCCCAAGTTTTATTGAGTTGTAATTGACAAATAAAAATTGTATATATTCAAGGTATACAGCATGATGCTTTGATATATGTATCTCTTGTGAAATGATTGCTAAAATCAAATTAATTACCGCATTTGTCACGACCCATAGTTAATATTGTGCATGTGAATGTGTGGGTTGGTGGGTGAGGGGGATGAGGACATGTAAGATCTACTCCTTTCGCACATTTTCAATAAATCATCCAGCAGTATTAACTATAGTCGATAGAATTTACTCATTTTATAATTGAAAGTTTATGTCCTTTGACCAATGAAGTTGCTATGTTAGATAGTATATACAAAGAAGACAAATCTGATAAGGTAACATCTAGCAAAGTCCTGGAAGGAGCAAACCACATGAATGTTTGGGTAAAGAGGGGTTCAGGCTGAAGGAACAACTACAGGGAAACTATTGCTTAGGGCCCTAGTGGCTTTTTAATAAGCAGTTGGCTTTTAAGAAATAACTCTAGAATACAAATTTTGTTTTACTAAAGTATCTTTTTAATGCTATTTTGGATTTTCTCTTATTAGGCTGCTGCAGAGAAGATGGTGCAAGCGCTAATGGAAAGGAATTCAGAATTACAGGCCCTGCGCCAGTACCTAGGAGGGAAAGACTTCATGGCGTCCCAAGCCCTCGTCGCTCACCAACAGGCTGAAGTCACCTCAATTGGCCCTGCTCTTGGAGAGCAGACTGATCAAGTAAGAATTATAGACGTCTATAGATTATCATGCTGATTCTTTCCTTTTTTTATATTTGAGGTATAAAGTTTGATAATTCTTTATATATACTTATATATAAAATTTGGACCCAGGTCCACATTAGTTAAGTATAAAATTTTGTTTCATAAAAGGACCTTCTCTTTATATATTATATAATATATGTATGTATAATTTGAGAGACAGAGTTCCCATCACCCTCCAAAGGCCCACAATGACCTCTGGCTGGCCAAAGCCTAGAGCCAAGGACTCAATCCAGGTCTCCCACATGAGGGTCAGGAACTCAATTACTGGAGCCATCGCTGCTACCTCTAGGGGTTTGTGTTAGCAGGAAGAAAGTCAGGAGTTGGAGGTAGGCATCAAATCCAGGCATTCCATTGAGGAACATGGACATCATATCTGGCATCTTAACTGCGAGGCCAAACACCCACTCCAGCTTGTTAATTGTAATACCAAATTGTGTGAGAAATTTTAAGACCTGTCATTGTGATCGTAGTTCCTGCATCTTCCTGAATCTTCTGACTCTTCCAATTTTTAGGGTTCATTACAAATACTCTCCAGAGATGACAGTACTTCATTGACTGCCAAAGAGGATGCCAGCATACCCAGGTCCACATTAGGTAAGTATAAAATTTTGTTTCATGAAAGGACCTTCTCTTTTTTCCTTCTGTGTCTTAGTACTAATAGTTTGGCCAACACTCCCTTTTTTCTCTTACCTTAATGGAAAAGAATGTTTAGATTTCCCTGAAAGGCTGAAGGCACATCTGTTCGAAAGAGCTACCCTTATTCTATCCATAACCCAGAGGGTATGTCTCTGGGTTCACAGTTTGCCCCAGGGAAATCCATCCCGGTTTTCCTTTTCAGATAGCTTTGCAGGGATTCAAAAATTCTGGAGGTAGTGCTTCCAAATCTGTACATCAGTGCTTTGGAACTGTCACCTTCTCCTGTGTATCTTTCAGGGATAGGGCTACTCACTGTAACTTGACATCATCTACATTAAAAATATTGGGAGGGGTAGATAGTACACATTACTTGCCAACCTCAGTTCCAGCTCTCTAAAGAACCAAATTCTATGTCTTGTGGGTACAGAACTCAAATGGATACCTTGGATTGAAACCTCTGTCACAGAGCAAAAGATTGAAGTTTAGGGTAGCTTTAAGGAACATGTTATCCAGAGAGTGCCCCAAGTACAAACTTGTGATGATTAAATGAGATGGCGATTATAATGCTGTGGTAAGAAAGGTTGTAGACTTGGAAAATTAACTTACGATATTTAAATTATATCAAAAATGAAGGAACTGGGTGCCTTTGTTCTGGTGTAGGTCATTAGAGACGTAGTCATTCTTCAGTAGGAAAATTCTATGCTAGTCAAAAAGTAAAGAATGCTAGATTTGTCTAATTCACTTTTTTTTGTCTAATTCACTTTCTCTTTACCTTCTTAAGAAGCATACTTTTCCACAATTTTTTATTTTTTGAAAATTTTAAACCTACAGAAAATGGCAAAAAAAGAGTGTAGTGAATTCTCATATAATTTTTTTTTTATTTTTTTTATTTTTTGACAGGCAGAGTGGACAGTGAGAGAGAGAGACAGAGAGAAAGGTCTTCCCTTGCCGTTGGTTCACCCTCCAATGGCCGCCGTGGCCGGCGCACTACGGCCGGCGCACAGCGCTGATCTGATGGCAGGAACCAGGTACTTATCCTGGTCTCCCATGGGGTGCAGGGCCCAAGTACTTGGGTCATCCTCCACTGCACTCCCGGCCCATAGTAGAGAGCTGGCCTGGAAGAGGGGCAACCGGGACAGAATCCGGCACCCCGAGTGGGACTAGAACCTGGTGTGCTGGCGCCGCAAGGCGGAGTATTAGCCTAGTGAGTTGCAGCGCTGGCCTCTCATATAATTTTTAAAAATATTTATTTATTTACTTGAAAGGCAGAGTTGCAGAGAGAAAGGGAGAGACAGAGGGAAAGGGAGAGACAGAGGGGAAGAGAGAGACCATCTGTTGGATCACTCTGTAAATGGCTGCAATGGCTGGGATTGGGCCAAGCCAAAGCCAGGTACTTGGAACTCTGTCCAGGTCTCTCATGCGGGTGACAGGCCCCAAGCAGTTGGGCTGTCCTCTGCTGCTTTTCCAGTGCATTAGCAAGGAGATGTATCAGAAGTGAAGCAGCAGGGATTTGAACTGGCACTCATATGGGATGCTAGTGTTAGACAGGTGGTGGCTTAACTCTGTGCCACAACACCAGCCCCTAAATTTTTATTAAGATTCACTAATTGTTAACATTTTGCTATATTTGCATTTCTTCCTATGTACACAAACACACATGCTCACGTGTATACACATATGAGAAAATTTCTTACAGGCATCATGACAGTTCACCCCTAAGTACTTCAGTAAATATTTCTTAGGAGCAAGGGCATTCTCCTATATACCTACAATATCATTGTCATACTCAGGAAACTTAAACTGAATGTAGCCATAGTATCTAATACGTAGTCCATATTCAGAATTCTGTTGCCCCAGTAAGTGTTGTCGGTAGCTGTTTTGCCCTATCCCAGGGCTCGTGCATTGTGCCCAGTTGTTATATCTCTTCAGTCTCCTTTAATCTGTAACAGTTTTTTTTGTGTTAGTGGCATTTTTGAAGAACTTAGGCTAGCTAGTGTTCCTCAGTTTGGCTCTGTTTCCTGGTGATTATATTCTAGTTAAATATATTTGTCAAGAATACAATGTGAGTGACATCTTTCTCAGTGTATCACATCAGTGCATGATCAAAACATTGCTTCATCCTTAGTGACACCAAGTTTAGTCACTGGGTTGGGTTGTATCTGCCAGATCTCTCCACTGTATCACTTTCTGTTCTGTAATTAATAAGTGATCTATTGGCTGATTTCTGGAGATGATACTTGAAATATTTTTGAAATTTAGCTTGGAGATGATACTAAGAAATATTTTTCAAGCAGTCATTTCCTCAGTGGTTTCTTTGAATGTTGCCTGAACTAACTCTTACATTGGTAGTTTAAAAAGTGATTTTCTGTTTGTAAAGTTTCATCTTAATTTATTAGTGAGTACTCTTCTACAAAGAAAAACCGTCATTCTCCTATCTCCATACTCCATTTGTTTTTTCGTGTCAGTATGCATTAAAAAAAATCATTGTATTATCCATTTTTATCATTATTCCATTTGATGCCTAAATTATCTGAGCTTTGGCCAGCTGGTACCCCTTCATGCTGTTCCTCTGTCCTTTTGCTGTTTCCTCCTCAGTTTTTTAGCACAGTAGGTATTCTGTGATCACCTTTTACTGGGTTAGCCCCGGAATCAACCATTTCCCTAGTATTCATTTTAGTATGCAATGGTGTTTAGAAATTAAGATCTAGGCAAAAAATGTGTTCTTTGCTATATGTTGTCATTTGTTTCTAGGCCCTCTTAAGTGAACAGAGCTAGCGATGAATTTAAAAACACAAAATGTGTATGTATATGATATTTTATGAGGATTTGATACTGATTCCCCCAATTCACTTTAACAGTGAAGTTCTTAGATTCATTTTGTGTTTGTATCTCCCATCTCTCAACACTGAGAGCCGTGGTTATTGAATAGCACCAATGTATATGAAAATATTTGCACAGTACTACAAAATGCAGAAATAGTTTCAGAATTGCTATATGAATAACACTATCAGTAATGAATCTGTTGAGTAATGTTTAAATTTCTTTGTAATTATTTTTATCCTTAAGGTATTTCTCACTGAGGATGTACAGTCAGAGCACTGAATTGAAAAATTATTTGGATTAATTTTTTATTATCTTCTGGGTGATTATATTATATATTTGCTATATAGATTCATTTATTTGTGCCAGTATTTGGTTTATGATTTTTTTCCCTTATTATTTTCAAAGTAACTCACACATTAAAAATTAAACATTAACTTGAATCAATACTCAAATAATCAAAGATATGCACAAACATGTTATCTATTTCCCTCTCCCTTTTTTCTGTCTTTGATCATCCTCTGAAGGTAACCAATTTTATTTCTGGGTTGCTCTTCCTATGTATGTTTTTGCTGAAATATGCAGGTGAATTGTGTGTGTGTGTGTGTGTGTGTATGTATATGTTTGTGTGTATGAAATGCATTGTAAGTTCTTATTTTTCCCTTTTCCTAAAGTAAAACACATTATATTAGATGTATTCTTTTGCACCTTGCTTAGTTTGCTTATTTTACCTAATATAACCTTGAAATTACTCTATGTATAAGGTCTTTGTTTCTCACAGCTACGTATAGGATTCCATTTTGTGGATGTATAGTACTATCTTTTTTCAGTCTTTATAGCATGTAGGCTGATTACGGTATTTGTTGTTATATAAATAATGTTGCAAAGAACAGCTTGTACATTTTTTTTTATTGTTGGAATGTATCTCAGAATGAATTCCTCAGAAATGAGGCATCAGAGATTACATTGCTAATAGTGATTAAAACTAATTATTTTCATTTTAGGAGATTTGGATACTGTTGCAGGGCTGGAAAAAGAATTGAGTAATGCCAAAGAGGAACTTGAACTCATGGCTAAAAAAGAAAGAGAAAGTCAGGTGAGTTCTGTAGTCATTCCTGGTTTCTAAATTCCCATTTTCTTTTCAAAATAGTCTATATTTGAAAGAGTACAGTTCTGCAAGTATAATGTCTAATTCTAGATGCAAGATGAGCCTTTTTCTTTTTGGAGAAAAATTTAAATAGCATTGCATATACATAATCTCAACAGGATGCTTTTTTTTTTTTTTAAAGAATTTATTTATTTGAAAGGCAGAGTTACAAAGAGGAGAGGTGGAAAGGGAGAGGGAGAGGGAGAGCAGGAAAGAGAGGGAGAGAGAGAGAGAGAGAGAGAGAGAGAGAGAGGGATCTTCCATCTGCTGGTTCAATGGCCACTACAACCAGAGCTGGACTAACCTGAAGCCAAGAGCCTGGAGCTTCTTCCAGGACTCCCATACGGATGCAGGGGCCCAAGCACTTGGGCCATTGCAGAGATGCTGGATTGGAAGTGGAGCATCTGCGACTTGAACCGGCACCAATGGGATGCTAGCACTACAGGTGGTGGCTTTACACACTACACCACAGCACTGGGCCCCAGTGCTCTAGGTTTTGTAATGAGGACTACTAAAGCTGTTTAAGAATTGAAACAATACAGTTTTCTGTATCTGTTGCTTCCTGGAATAAAATACTTGTAAAGCACCTGTGAAAAAAGGAAGTGCTCTGTAATTGCCAGTTATAATTATCAATTAATATGACATTAGGCCTATTAAATTAGTTTGAAACCCCTGAAACAAGTGAAATTTGAGTATGATCAATAGATGTTATTGAATCCTCCTTATTGCATTGCACTGTGCTGTGTCCTTAAATTAGCACTAATGCTCAAAATGAAATGCTTTATGAAATAAATAGTATTGGTCCTATTTTATAGATGAAGAAATTAAAAGATTAACTTTTGTTTTTAACATGAATTATTTGAGAAATAGTCATATAGCTAATAAATGCCAAAGCTAAGGTTTAAACTCAGTCTTTTGTGACTCCAAATACTTACTAAGCATTTATTTCCTGTGCAGATCATTTTTGTTACCTTATGCTTTACTCTTTCTAGCAGTAAGAGTCCTCAACAGTGTTCTCAGGAGAAGCCCCTTAGCTTTACAGAATCGTTTTCCCTTTGCCTGCCCTGTACAGACAGTTGTATGTTCCTCTGCAATGGAGAAGATAATTAGGACCACAAGCAGATTTACAGAGTAAAACTGGAAACGTACATGTTACTCTGTCATCTCTTGTAGAAGGCCTGTCAGTGTCCTGGCTCTCTAAATTGTTTAGCTATTCTGTAGAGTTCCTCAGTTGTATTCTACCTTTCTGCCATAGTTAGGCTTACAGTATTAAACCTGTGCCTGTATTTCTGATGGAACTTTCTTATTATACTCCTTGATTTCATTACTGTCTTCACAAATTCATGCTGTGTGACTCAGTAAGTTTTGAGGATGTGAGAGTGTGTGTCAGTTTAAAAATACCAGTTTTAAAAATCCCCTAGTTCCCCTCATTTTTTGTTTCTACCTTATCTGATTATTCATGCCAGATATTTTAGTTTCCATGTGCTGTTTCTGTTTTTCTCATATATATGAAATCTAGAGTAATGTTACTTTTTGGTTCTGTGCTGTTTCTAGTATCATAAAATTGTAATGCCTTTTAATGAGTATTTTGAGTGAGTGATATTTGTCAATTGCTCATCTTTATGTATCCTTAATCGACTACCTGCCTCCAAGTCCAAGACCATATATATTTATAACCACATTTCCTGTAATATAAAGCATTTACCAACAGTAATGTAGATTTTCCCAAAATTTTAACTATTGCTCATATTGTCTTTAGATAGTAGTTACAGCAGCAGCAGCAACAGCAGCAGTAGCAGTAGTATTTAGTGTTCATAGATTTCCTGCTAGGTGCCAGGCATTTTATGTGTATCTTTATCTTAATTCTCATGTAGCCTGGGACAGTAGCTATTATTCTCATTTTATAGTTGAGGAAACCGAATCTCCGCTAAGATTCCTTGTCAAGGAGCTTCTGTCAGGATTTATACCTGTGTCAGTCTGCACACCTTTATCATGCTGCAGTAAACATCTTGCTTTCGTTTTTCTTCAGTGGAGCAGATACCTGATACATAACGATGCAGGAAAGATGAAATGGCCTAGCAAATTTGGTGTCTTACTGTGCTAACTAAAGTGGAGGACATCATTAAACACAACGTTTACAGCTCTGCATACAACATTCTTTGGTGTGGCCTTGCATGATTATCTATTGCGTCCAGTAGAGCACTATTCATGTTCTTGTTTTTTGTGCATTGCCGGCTGATAGTGATATGAGATGGAAAAGCATTTGCCCAGGTATTAAAGTATAAATGTGACAGATATTGTTTCCTCTGCCACTGACTTCAGGATTTCATCTCTCCACAGATGGAACTTTCTGCTCTACAGTCCATGATGGCTGTGCAAGAGGAAGAGCTGCAGGTGCAGGCTGCTGACCTGGAGTCCCTAACCAGGAACATACAGATAAAAGAAGATCTCATAAAGGTCTTTCAGAGTTTTTTAAAGACCGCTGGAAAAGTTTGTCACTCAGAATAACTTAGGATGTCTTCACACAATATTTGGATGTGTTGAGTCCCTTGGCCAGTGCTTATCCATATCACACTTGAAAGTACCGTGGACTGTTTCAAGGGCGTTTGTTGCTCCTTGTCAAACGGTTGTTTTTATAATTACTATTGTTTTATCTATACTACTTTTTTTTTTTTTAAACTTCTAGGACCTGCAAATGCAATTGGTTGATCCTGAAGACATACCAGCTATGGAACGGCTGACCCAAGAAGTCTTACTTCTTCGGGAAAAAGTTTCTTCTGTAGAATCCCAGGGTCAAGAAATTTCAGGAAACCGAAGACAACAGGTAAATTATTAGAATACAAACCTTATTTTTTTTTTTTTTTACTGCAGGATGAACAATGGGAAAAACTGTCAAATTCAGCTACTTACAAAGGAATCAGTGAATTTCCTGTTGTGTCTATCCTCTGAAGTTTCCTACTTTATTTATTTATTTCAGATATTTATTCATTCATTTGAAAGGCAGAGTTGCAGAGAGAGAGAGAGGAAGAGACAGAGAGGGAAGGAGCTTCCATTAGCTGGTTCACTCCCTAGATGGCTGCAACAGCTGAAGCTGGGCAGGTCAGAAGCCAGGAGCCAGGAGATTCTTCCCGGTCTTCCATTTGGTTCAAGGGCCCAAGTACTTGGGCCATCCTCCGCTGCTTTCCCAGGTGCATTAGCAGGGAGCAGGATCAGATGTGGAGCAGCTGGGACTTGAACCGGCACCCATATGGGATACCAGTGCTGTAGGCAGTGGGTTTACCCACTATGCTACAATGCTGGCCCCAAAGTTTCCTGCTTTAAAGTCTGCATAGATGGGTGCCCCTTTCTGACATTTGTAGTTCTAAGAGGAGCAGCAGTTCTTACTGGACACATACTGTCAGGTATCCCTCATTCATTGTTTCCCCTCTCAGCTGAATCCTTCTCATCTACATGTCCATAATAAAGAGAAAAAACTCTATCTCAAATTCTTTTGTAGTTACCACCCTGTGTCTAACCTTTCTTTAAGGCAAACCTTTCAAAAAGACTTACTTGCTTTCATGAGGGGGCTTCAACAGCAGCTTGAGTGGAAGGATGGTGTGAATTTCCCATGAACTGTTTGAGGCCCCTTGTCCCCCCCTGACTTCATCATCATCTCTTTCCTTGATTACTCATCTTGCTGCAGTTTAGCTTTCGGCTCTAATCTTAAACAGATCTCTGCTGGTTATAAATTACCATAGCACATTGTCTTTATGGCACTTCATACAGCTTGCAGTGACACATGTCTATGACTGGTGAATGTGTTTTTTTACCCCCACTAGATAGATTTTCCTTAAAACCCAAAGCAGAGTTTATTACCTAGAAGTTGCTCAATGAATATTTCTTGAATGAATGAAGAATACTAGTAAGTCCTGTTATATATATGCTTCCCTGTTGTCCTTTCCCCAACTCCTCCCCTCCTCCTCTCCCTCCCTTCCTCCCTCCCACTCTCCCTCCCTCCTCCCCTCCTCCCCTTCCTTCCATCCTTTCTTCCTTCCTTCCTTTTTCAAAGTCCTTTCTTTTAGCTGTTTTTGTTTTTTGGCTTCCCTCTCCTTTTTCTTCTTCTCATCCCATGTTTGAATTTTGCCTTATAGTGTTTTTTTTTGTTTTTTTTTGTTTTTTTTTTTTTTTTTTTTGACAGGCAGAGTGGACAGTGAGAGAGAGAGAGACAGAGAGAAAGGTCTTCCTTTTTGCCGTTGGTTCACCCTCCAATGGCCGCCGCGGCCGGCGCGCTGCGGCCGGCGCACCGCGCTGATCCGATGGCAGGAGCCAGGAGCCAGGTGCTTCTCCTGGTCTCCCATGGGGTGCAGGGCCCAAGCACCTGGGCCATCCTCCACTGCACTCCCTGGCCACAGCAGAGGGCTGGCCTGGAAGAGGGGCAACCGGGACAGAATCCGGAGCCCCGACCGGGACTAGAACCCGGTGTGCCGGCGCCGCTAGGCGGAGGATTAGCCTAGTGAGCCGCGGCGCCGGCCATGCCTTATAGTGTTTTAAAGATAAAAAGTTTTAATGAGTGTGACGTTGATTTGAAAACTGATATATTGTAGGAAGCTGAGGCAAGTAATAAGACAGTGGGCTTTTTTTAGTCATGGTACATGTGAATGCATTCTTTGTTGTTTTTCTCTCTGTCTCCCTTTGCTATTTGCATATTGCTTCTTCTCTCTTCTTTCCTCAGCTGCTGCTGATGCTGGAGGGACTGGTAGATGAACGGAGTCGGCTCAATGAGGCCTTGCAAGCAGAGCGACAGCTCTATAGCAGTCTGGTGAAGTTCCATGCCCATCCAGAGAAGTAAGAGAGTGACTGTTTTTCCTTTTACTCTTTGAAAAAACGATTTATTTATTTATTTATTTATTACAAAGATTTACTTATTTATTTGAAAGAGTTGCAGAGAGGCAGAGGCAGAGAGAGAGAGAGGTTTTCCATCCACTGGCTCACTCCCAAAATGGCTGCAACAGCCAGAGCTGAGCCAATCCAAAGCCAGGAGCCAGGAGCTTCTTCCAGGTCTCCCATGCAGATGCAGGGGCCCAAGGATTTGGGCCATCTTCTACTGCTTTCCCAGGCCATAGCAGAGAGAGGATTGGAAATAGAGCAGCCGGGACTTGACCAGCACCCGAAGATGCCAGCACTGCAGGTGGCAGCTTTACCTGCTATGCCACAGCTCCGGCCCCTGTTAGTAAACATTAGAGCAGGAATACTAACCTACATGTTTTATTATTTTACTATTTACTTTCTTCTAATTCATTATTGTGTTTCTTTCTTTCTTTTTTTTTTTTTTTTGACAGGCAGAGTGGACAGTGAGAGAGAGAGACAGAGAGAAAGGTCTTTTTTTGCCGTTGGTTCACCCTCCAATGGCAGCCGTGGCCGGCACGCTGCAGCCGGCGCACCGTGCTGATTCGAAGGCAGGAGCCAGGTGCTTCTGGTCTCCCATGGGGTGCAGGGCCCAAGGACTTGGGCCATCCTCCACTGCACTCCCAGGCCACAGCAGAGAGCTGGCCTGGAAGAGGGGCAACCGGGACAGAATCCGGCGCCCCGACCAGGACTAGAACCTGGTGTGCTGGCGCCGCAGGCGGAGGATTAGCCTATTGAGCCGCAGTGCCGGCTCATTATTGTGTTTTTAAAAATGCTTTCTTTCTATGTCAGGATAATGAATGCAGAGGAACTTATGATAGAACTACTTGATTGTGTTAGCTTTTAAAGAACCTCTGCAACTTTAGTCTTTTGAACCAATTCTTTATCAGAGCATTGTCAAGTTTTATAGCAGATGAGAACATAATTCGTTTTTCCTGGATTTTAGTGTTTCAGAAAGTAAAGCTCTTAGATAATGAAATTTCTCTTCTTATGGACTAAAGGGGTATGGAATTAATCTTAGGAGCTATAATTTTATGTGATATTGACCCAGAACCTAGCATAAATGGGCAAACTCTAAAGAAAGGAGTAGGCCTTGTTAACCCAGCAGGGGTGAACATGAGTGCCCAACAAAGACGCCTTCCATTTATTGTGTCCTGCAGAACCATTATTTTAGAATGTCTCATGGCTGAGTGGCATTGATGTCTCTTGGGAAATATATGTGAGTTCATTAAATTGATGACTAATCCTTTTTCCTCCACGTGGCATGTTTAATCAGCTCTGAAAGAGACAGAACTCTGCAGGTGGAACTGGAAGGGGCCCAGGTGTTACGCGGTCGACTAGAAGAAGTTCTTGGAAGAAGCCTGGAGCGCTTAAGCAGGCTGGAGACCCTGGCCGCCATTGGAGGTGGGGAACTGGAAAGTGTGCGAGTTCGTCACAAGCATGCCTTCTGAGCACTGGCGGGTCAGACTGCAGCCCAGGATGGAAACCTTGTTTGCACTAACCAGAGGGAGCCTTGTCTGACTTCCTAGAATTAAATGGTGACTTACTAATGATAGAACTGGTGCAAGTAGCATCAACCACAAAGTGGAACTCACTTTAGCCTACCTGTATCTCATTGTACATATCTATGAATTGATGGTGGAGGTGACAAAGTGTATTTGCACATTTTAAATCATTCCATTTTAGTTTTTCCACCCATATGCATTCCTTTCCCTAGCCCCTTCTCATTCCTTCATCCTTCTATGGGCCAATAAAGTTTATTCCTCCCCAGTTTCACAATCCATTTCCTATGTTCCATATCATGTCATAAATGCATGTGTGTATTATTTTTACCATTCAATCAACTCCTGCTCTTTGAGTGAGAGCACTTTTTAAATTAAATCAAAGGATAAAGTAGATCAGAACTAGGAGAGTGGTCTTGTAATGGTAGACTGCAGGTGTTGAGAAGGCCAGTTAGAGATCAGAGACAAAGACTATTAAGGTGTTTACAGTAAAGCTTTAGCCCTAGTGTTGTTTCAGAGTTAAATATTGAATGACACAGGTGCAATTAAATTGGTGCAGATTAAATCCTATTTAAAATTATTTCTTCACTGATCCCTGTAGATTCCTTTAAACCAAGGGATGTTATTTAGTCAGAACAAAATTTCAAGAAAGGTCTTTCAGAGCCAGAATTCTCCAGGTATAAAGGTAATTTCAAATGCAGTGTCTCCCTTTAAATTCAGTATTCCACTAAATAGCTTATTATAGCCAGAAGAGAGTATTGCTTCTATACTTCCATTTGATAGTGGCAGGTTCTTATAATTTTCAATATTGTATTTCTGGAGTCTTAAATGTCATGAGTGTGAAAAGTGACAAGATAATTTTGGAGCTTTGAAGGCTCAGCACCATGAGGTTTCTTTTTTCTGCTGCACATAAGTTTCTTAGATTAGAAACTGAGATTTCAGTTCCATTAAATATGGAATTTGGGGGGTAGCGATTGACAGCTTCCAGTGCCACAAATGTGATTGAGGATCCTTTCTAAACTAGGTGGGACACATTCCATTTTTTTTTTTTTTTACATGACATTTTATTTCTTTCACATTCCTGTGTTGACATGGCTTACATTACAATATGAATCCCTTCCAAGTTTCTGTAAGTTTACCTGTTCCTGAAACAGGTAGAGCTTCAGTCAAACTAAAATGGATAGGAAGAAAATGTGCTACTGAAGAAACTTCCTGGAATCTCCTAAGTGGTTTGCAAAGATTGGCAGCTTTAAGCCCTTCTCTTAATAGAAATGTCATTCCAGTCTTAGTGGCTTTTAAAGGGAAAAGGAGTTTGAGAAAGAAGGTATAAGCAGAACCACCTGCTTTTCTTACTCTTTCCATTTTAAGAGCCTCTTTCCTACAAAAAACTTTTTGTAACTTCCCAAAAGTGAGGTGGATAATGGATGTGGTCAGTAGAAATGACAACCCATCTAGTACTAGTCTGTCATGTCATTACAACAAGGCATTTAGGAAATGTCTTTCCTTAATTTTACTAATAGATAAAGGAAACTCTTTAAGTCTCCTATTAAGATTCAACCATAGGTGATTTTTGGGTCTAGGGTCTCATGGTGAATATAGTGATTAATAGTAAATACACCTTGCTTCTATCAACCTCCAATGAAAGTGAGTTGATAGAAGGATGAATTAAGGGTGTGATCTTGACACCATAAATTTGGCTAAGATCGGGCACTAACTTTCTGGTCTTGCTAGCAGGAATGAGGCATGCAAATGGTGTTACCAGGAAAGAGCCCGCTGCTCTCACAATTTTATGTGATAATTTGATGTTTGAATAGAGAATATGATTCTGATGAATTTTGTCTTAACTCACAGATGGGTGACACTGTGATTGGATACATCATTCATATAATCATATTTACTATAGTATCATATGATTCCATTCGCCTTCCAGGAGCATAACTTTTTATCTTGTTGGATTATTCTACCTTGTCAGGCATTTTTCAACATTATAATAATTTTAGCTAAAGCATCATGTGCTTATAGAATCTTGTGTTGAATAAAAAAATCTTCAAAAAGAAATAATGAAGTAAATTTTTACTTAGGCCATGCTTGATCAGAAGTATAGAACTTAAAATGAGAAAAATCTAGGTGGATACATTTCATTCTTGCCACATTTTCTCCTTTAATAATATGCAGAGTTACAAGTCATCAGGGTAGATGAAGTTTTTACAACTGGTTTTTAGAACTATAGAATTGAAAAGGATATCTAATAGTATTTATTTTGATTGAAATAGAAGTCTTTATGACAAATTTCATCTAAATTTTTTTCTGTTGCAGGTTTAAACTATATTACTGAAATCTGATGATTGTTAGTGCTTAGTATAAGTCAACATTTGTCTGATGTCCTCTTTTTGGCTATTTAGCCAAATTAGGACTTTTTTGAAAAGGCATTATTGGGCTATTTCAATAGATAAGCCTTTTACTTTAATAGGGTTTACTTTTGTTCCTCAACTCCCACTTCAGTCCTCTACATCTGCTTTTTATTTATTCTGTTGTGGACAGTGAAAATATTTTTAATACATCTACTTCTTAGGGAAAGCACATTTTTCTTTGTTCATAGTTTAAAAAGATTTTTCAATTATATTATATAATAAGAAATCTATTAAGGTTAAAGAAAATCTTAACCTGTATAGGATATTAGATCCCAGCCACTTAGAAGGTTCTTTAGTATATTCCACTCACACAGTTTATACCTATATGACTTTATGGCAGATGTGCATAAAAGACCTATCAGAGGCATGCTTATTTATGCTTCTAATTCAGTATGTGGGTTATAAGAAGGTTGGCTCATTGCTTCAAACCAATTCAAGAAAATTGATTGGAATTTCTCTGCTTTAGTCTTCAGGTTGGATCTAAGGTCTTCAGATTAGGGAAAGACAGAGAAGGTCACACTACCCTGGAAATTACTCATTTCCTTGAGAAATAAAGATTGACTTATCTAAAGTTCCTTTCCTTTAGTCTATAAACCTTATAGAGAACAATAGCACCTTTGCTTCCCTTGAGCTAGAATTAGGAAACTTTAGTTCCTAATGGAAGAATAAAGTCATTGTTTTCTGGTTTCATGATCTTTTTATATGAAAGAGTCACAGAATCTTTACATTTGACATCCCTGAAAAATTCAAGTTGCCTTTTCAACAAAGGGCATCAGATAGTATCCTGCAGGTCTGTAGCCAGGGTCCTGCAAGAAAAGGTGTTAGACTTCCATGAGGTTAAGTATTAGTATCCCCCACACTTGAAGTCTGCCTTCCGCCTTGCCTTGAGGAAATCACATTAGAGGTAGAATAAATGAAGTCTACTCACTTTTTCAGACACCATCATTCTGTGAGATGCAAGCACATATTTTCTCTGATTTCTCTTAATCTCCTTTTGGTAGTATGAAGCCGTTTGTATAATGGAAAGAACAGCTGGAAATGTGGAGCTATTATAGGACAACCCAACATTAAAAAGCAGAAGGAGTGAGTCAGTAGGCTAATACATTGTATTGGTAGTCTAATACATTGGAGTGATTACTGTAGGGTGATAGCTTTGAGTGTTGATGCGTTTTTGGAATATGAATTTAAGCTACTCTTCACCATTTGCAGCAATATCTGTTAAAGCGGGATTAGAAAACAACTGTTACTTTTAAGTAGTCTGAGTATTGACAAAAGGTAAGTCCTCAGTTGCTTTCTATGTAATCACGTGAGGCAGGATGGATTTCTCAAATAAAATTGTGCCTCTGACAAAGAATGGTAATCAGAGGGGAAACCCAAAACTGTAGAGCTGACAATACTTATTTCATCAGATTTCAAATAGAATAATTAAAGTGGCAGTGATGTGCTAACTTTTTATGTTACTCCATTTTCTTTGTTATTTAGAGTTTACAGAAATAAAAATATCATATTCTTTCCCTCTTCTAAAGCTGGAAGGATAAAATATATAAAAAGTTAGGCAACATCAGAAAAATGATCTCAAATAATATGAAGAGCAGGACTGTTAATTACATGAACCAAATGCTCTACCATGGTCCCTTGAAGAACTCATTGGCCAGCAAATGCTTGGAGATTTGCTTTTTGCAGTTGTCAAAGTCATTAAGGTCCCTTTCACAATCTAAACACTTCAGAAGCATGTGTAAACACAGGTGTTTTATAAATCATGAATTTCTGTGTTCACGAAGTATCAGTTTGAGAATATCACTTAAAATTTTGTAGGCTGTTGAGAGAAATTAAAGTGATTCCTAACAGTTTCAGGGAAGAAGGAAGTACCATGTAAAATGATCAGAACTTTGGGTTTAGATTCTATCCAGCACTATTTCCCCGCCAAAGTTAAGCTGTATGTTTTTCTCTGGAAGTTATCTCTTCCTAGCTCCATGCTGTTAAACTGTGTTAACATTTGTGCTGAAGAGTGTACATTTTTTATGTATAAAGTGTTAGCATTTCAGCTACTTTAGTTGAGACACAACAAATTGTTACTGATCCAATAAAAGTATCAAAAGGCCAACAGAAGCTATTTGATTTCATTCTTAAAAGATGTATAAGAAAGAAATAAAGTACTTTTTTTTTTTTTTCACTTACCACTTAGAGGAAAATCAGTCTATCAATTGTCCTAAAATTCTCAGTCGATTAAGGCTCTGTGGAATGAGATTTATTTACCTAAAGGAAGAAGAAGAAACTTGAAATTTTCTCCTCCCAAAAGAGTAAGACTAAATTAACAGCTTTGCACTTTTCCTAGAAACGTGAAGTGGGCTACTTTACTTTAAAAATCCTCCCATTCTCTCCTTGCCTTAACCGGTAGTCATATGAGAAGGCAGGACAGAGATATAAGGAGGTTGTTGTGGGTGGTGCCGTCTCTTTAAATGTTCCCAGAGACACTTGCTGCTATGGTCCTTGAGGAAAAGAGACCATGAGCAGGAAGAGTTTCTTGACATCGCAGAATAGGTACAGCAGTCATATCTTCCAGTCTGCCCAGGACAGTCCTGTACACATGTCCCCATCCACCTAAAGACAGCTGACTCTCGTTTTAGAATAATGAATTCATGAATAATGAATAATTACTGTTTTGAAAAAGAAACTCTTCAGAATCCTAGTGAAATTTCATATCCCCTAAAGTTTTTTGGATTATAGTTTGATTTTATAAAGTTACTTAACTGCTTTCTGGAAAAAAAAAAAAAAGGAGCTGAAAGACTCTTGAGAGACATCACAATGGAAAGACAAAGGTACACCATGGGAAGGGCTTGAGCCATTTTCTTTGACTTCAGTTCCAAGGCCAGAATCTGGATGAAGAATTTTATTTCTTGGCAGAAGCTGTGGGAGACTACATATAATCTTGATTCTTTTTTGTGTGTCTTGAAGGGAATGGATGCAGGTGAATTTACAGGTTGAAAGGAGACTTTTTGTCCTTGATTCTTTGATATAGCATCATATTGTGAAATCAGCAGTTGCTGGCTCATGACATGAACATGCGAGATCTTGTAATGAGCACATGGCAGAGTGCCTGGGCTTGAAGGTGAGGCCGACCAGATACAGCCTAGTACAAGAGCCCAGCACTGGGGGAAAGAACATGGCATGGCAAACGTACTCATGCTGTAAAGGTGTAGATTTCAAATCCCCTTTCAAAATCAGTAAATTGCTGACCCCTGCTGTGTTTCCAGCAACTATAGGGGAAAATACTACCTCTTTTCTGTTGATCCCATATAAATGGTTTAAAGGGGAAATCATGACTGCAGAGTAGAATTTGAGGAAAATGGTCTTGACCACCCAATTTGGATGCCTTAGAATAGAACTGAAGTGATACTTCATGAGTTCCCCGATACAGATTATTCCCACGTCGCAGAGCTTTAAGGCAGTTAATGCTGATGAATCCTGTTTGTAAAGCACCTGTTCACCAACACCTCTGAGCCTTTTCAACCGTGTTGTGGAGCAGGGAGAACAAACTTTTATTTCAAGCCCTCTGCTGAGGGGAACAGGTATTTAGGAGGGAGAAAGTACAGGTAGAACAGGTAGAATCAAGATCATCCAGTTAATAGCTGTAGTTATAAACCCTCTCTGCTGACACATTTGGGTTCTGTAGCTTCCAACTTTTTCAGTTCTCTAGCAGCCCATGGTGCCACTTCAGTTTACCAATAATAATAGTTTGAAATACTGTTTAAAGGTCACATTAACTAATATATTCTGTGCCAATCACTGTTTTAAACACTTCAAAATCAGCAAACCCTTTTAAGTTCACACAAATGTTTGGAGTGCATAATACAATTAATCATACTTAATATACAAGAAAATTGAGTTACAGAAAGAATGACTTGCCTAAAATCAAATAGTGACAAAAGCACAATTGAACCTAGACATTCTGGCTCCAGAGTCCATGTTCATAATCATTATTGCATCCTCAATTTAAAACGTTTCACCAAACTATGAATTTTTGCCTCAATGATAAGAAAATATTTGCATAATGTTTAGGTTTTCACCCAGGATTATTTTGCATACTTTCCAAAATCTAAAGAAAGGACATTTTGTGTGGCTCAGAGGCTAGAAAGTTCCAAAAGCCACAACATAAGAACTTCCAAAGAAGCTTCAGATAAAAAGTTTATTTTTTTAAATAAAAATGCCAGACATGAAAGACTTATCCAGAAGAGTCAAGTTAACTTGGAGGCATAGGTAGTTAGCTTTCAGAGAATCCAAAGGGAGCAAACCACTTTATTTCCAGTTTCTTTCAAAATAAGCAAATTCATTAATTAAAGTATGGGTCACTTTAAAGCACTCCATACAATGAAGTTAATGGTTTTCTTACTTTGCTCATGAAAGCTTAGAAAGAGGTATCACGCACAAAAGGGAAGCACTTTTTATTATTATTTACTTAAAAAATGGAAATGGTATCAGAAAGAGGAATGTTTAATGTAAACTTAAATATAGGACCTTGTGTGAGATCATTAACTCATTCCCACAATGCCTGTAAGATTTCTTTAGCTTTATTCTTTTACTCAAATATGCGGGAAAAATTTTTCAGTATTCTAACACAAATTGGTAAAAAGGCTGATCAACCCTTAAGTTCACATAAGAGAAATATAGCAGACTGTGAGATAGCTTTAAAAAAGGAAGAAAAAGGGCAAATTGTACAAAACACCTATGTAGTAGAGTGTTGGGATCAGGTGGACATTCTTCTTTCGCCTCCATCTAATTCCTGATAAAGTCAGAAGTATAGCATCTTGCCCCCAAGTGAATCAAAGAGAGGGACCATTATCCAGAAATACAGATGTGGCATCAGATGGGCTGGCAAAGGTAAGTGGAGGGCAGAGCCTATTATATTAAAGACCTCGAAACCAGTGATAGTCACCTTTTCTAAGTCCCACTGCACTTACTCCTTGGAACATAGGCCTGGCATGACTGTTCCACCACTAAAGGTAAGGGCCTGAGGATCCTGACCCCATAGAGAGCTGAACTGCTTTCAACTACAGGGTCGCAGAAGGAAACAGTGTGAAAAGTATGTTTTCTTAACCTGTCACTGAGTGGGACAATTCATTTCCTGTTCAGGAAGGAAGGTTGTGCTTTCTACTGCCCTGTAGGGTGAGATTTTGTGAAATGAGTGTGGTAGAACGCAGGTGTCCTCAGGTGAATTAGCATCCTGTGCTCACTGAGTCTTCCAAGCAGTCAAAGCTACTCAACCAGTAACCTGAATGAAATGGTTCTGGAGCTAGCCAGAAAAGCCAGAAAGGGTGTAGAAAATCCCGCAATGCCGAAGGTAAGTAATTAATTTTTAAATAAATAAAATGACAAAGAAAAAGAAAAAAAAATTCCTGCAATGCATTGTCTGCCCTGGATCTCTAAGGATGCTGAGTACTGATGGCGCCTCCTCAGGAACAGGGTCTTGACTTGGTCCAAAGTTGACACAACGCTCAGTGAGGATCAGGGAACTGCAGATGTTGGGACTGTGTGCTGCTTACTGTCTCTCAGTTCTCTGATGAGATCAGCCTGGGCCATTGCAAACACCTTGGTCCGAGCTGAAGTTACCAAGAACTAGAGTATAGATGTGGACTGCTCTGGTTCGTCTCAGCTGCGAAGGATACTGAATGCTCAGTGTTCATTCGTGGATGTCTTCCCAGGAACAGATTGTTTGGTCTTGGAGAAAGACACAAAGGTATTACTTGTCACAAGAATTGGTAGCATAGCTCTTGTCAGGTCAACTGTGCAGCCTTGGACAAGCCACCTCATCTCTTTGAGGCCCAGGTTATTACCTGGTCAGAAAAGGAGTTTCAACAAGTTGGTTGCTGAGGTCAGGATCAAAATTAGATCTGAAGATTCTGAAACTTGGGCAGATTCTGTGTTCAAATGAATTAACTGTATGAATGCCTACAGTTTTAGAAAAAAATCAGTAATCCTGTGGACCACAGTCCTTGATCTAACATTGGTCAATTGTTTAACCAATGGGAAGAGGAAGAAATGCCCCACATTTGTGCTGTCCAATATGGGTACCCCCAGCTGCATGTGGCTACCCAAGTAAAAAAGTTTAAACAAAATAAGAAATAGAATCCTTCCAGCGTAGCCACATTTCAGGGGCTCGAGGGCCACCTGTGACTGGCGCCTATGCTATTGGGCAGCACAGACACAACATGGCCACCACTGCAGAAAGTTCTGTCAGTGCTGGCCTAGAACTTTGTCTAGATCACAAACCTTGTACCTTGGAGCAGAGGGTAGATGTTTTTCCTCTAGGGTGATAATGCCCATCTTTGGGGAATGAAAGTATGGATTAAATCCCACTTGGGCAAAGCAGGACAAGAAAGCCTTCATGCGAAGGGTGCTGACATGGCACAAGAGTTTGAGAAACACGGGAAGGAGAGGGTGGGGAAGGCATTTGGAAATATGAATCATTCTGTGCCTTGGGTCTTGATTAGACTTGGACTTCTGGAGGCCACCAGGATCCCAGGAGGGGAGGTCCACAGAGAGATTATCACCCTCGGCACAACTGATCCCAACAGTGGCAGAGTGTGAGATGAGCAGAGCTGTCCTAATCCTCAGGGAAGGAAGGAACTTCTCAGTACTCAGTGTTGGGAGCTAGGCTGGTCGTGTGCAGCCCATGTTACAGAGGGAAAGTTGTTACACAGCCAGTCACTGGTAGGAAGAATTCAGGCTGTCCCGAAATGGGAGAGAGGCCATTGGCTACTGAGGTGCAAGACCATGCAGTCAAAGCCATCCTGCATCCTGAGGTTTAGACTGGAGCTTTAGAAACTACCAGTGACACTAAAAGACAGCTTTTTTGTTTGTTTGTTTGTTTTTCTGCCTCCCCTGCTGGTCCTGCTGGCTAGGGGCCCAGGCATATGGGGGAAGGAAGAAATCCGAAGTAGATGGCTAAAAAGACTAATTGTACCTGCTGTCTGGAAGCCATCTGTGAAGGGAATCACCTTTCTTTTCTGGACTTACTTGCAGGTGCAGCGACAGGGGATGACACTGAAGATACCAGCACCGAGTTCACTGACAGTATTGAGGAGGAAGCTGCTCACAGGAGCCACCAGCAAGTAAGTCAGTGTCAGGTTCGGGGGTTCCCAGGGTGGGAGGCGCACAGCCCTTCTGAGGTCTGATGCCTCCTGTAGCCCATCTGGACTTGGAGTGAGATGATACCTTTTGATATAAACCACTTCCTGGCTGCTTCCTGATCTCCTGAGCTTTCCAGCTGCCTCTTCAAGCCACAGCCTCACTCCACCTTCCTCTCTAATCTACTCTTTGATTTTTACTACTAAAATTTCTTCCTTCTGCTTCCCCCCTCTCTGCCTACCTTTGCCTCTGTATACTCTTTGTAGCTAAAGCTTTAGAAAAATGTTTACTTACAAGACATGGACACTTCTCCTCTTGGGCCTTGGTAACTGGAATACACTCTAGAAAGCAGGGAGTCCCCAAAGGGCAGCTTGGTCACAGGGCCTAGGACCTGGAGAATGCCCTCTGCGAAGCTTCAAGAGGATCAAAACGCTTCTAAAGCAGGGATCTTTCTTGATGAAATCTTATTGTATGAAAGGGAACTCAGTTGCACAACCTGACACATCACCTAGGTCATGACGACTCAAAGACCAGCAGATGGTGCTTCATCGGCAAGCTCCAGTCAAGCCTCAGAACTTGCTGCCCAAGGCTCAAACCCTGTTGTCACCATCAGTGAAGGTGAAACCAGCACGTTCTCAAGCCCAAGAGTGAATGTCCTGTACCTCAGAAATTAAGTCACCGGTAGTGATCCCACAGCACTCACTGGAACTCCTGTCTCCACCTTGCTCAGTGACACTGAGTAATCACACCTCCTAGATGGACCATGCCTATGACGCTCCAAGTTGTTCAGGTGAAAGGGGGTCACTGGTCAATATCCTTCTGCAAAAGTAACTGAGCTTTTCCAACGACAGCTTTGTTGGTGCTCTTAGGACAGCTGTAGCGGGAACGAGGCTTGCTGGGTCTGCCTGTACGTCTCCTTCATAAGAAAAAGAGGAGACATCTCATAAACTTATAAGAGGCCATGATTTGGCACCCACCATCTCTGGCTTTTGAGGATGTGAGTTTGGGATACCTTTCAAGTTCTCACCAATTTCTTTACCTTCTAGAAAGATGCCCATTTTGTTGTCCTGTCCATGCCTGACCTTACTTGTCCCTTGAGTTCTTGCATGAGCTCTGCTTGAAGAGCTTCTCCTGAGCTTTCCTAACCTATGGTTACACCTTTAATCATGCGTACCACTGTCCCTCTGAGAGATCCCTCTGCCCCGTGTTCCCTGATTTCATTGAGGATCTTGGGTGAAAAAGAAGGAGCTGTAGGATGAGTGAATATCCATTCTAAAAGAGATGCTAGGTTGGGATGTTGACTGGTCACTGATGGTTACAGAGACCATGAGACAGGATTAACCCCAGAATAAGTGAACAGGAGACCAGATGTGGGGAGATATGTCTGATTGACATGGTCAGCTGTCCCTGATCATTTAAGTCCTTTGTTCAAATTCTCAGTTGTAGGCAAACTGGCCTGTGAATCATTTCTTCCTCAACCTCCTCTATAACCCAGCATGGAGAACAGGACTGGACCCCATTCTGAGATGGTCTATCTAGCCCAGAATGAACTTTTAAATCGGGGAATTAATGTTTTCCTCACTATGCTTGCCATGGTACTTGGCATAAGGAGTATTTAGTATAATCATAGGTTAAGGAACCTGTGAGTCAGGGCTTGACTTGTGATAAAGCGTATGTCTGTTGAATGAAGAATCTTTTAGATAAGCATAATTTTTTTTTTTTTTGTATCGCTTTTCCTTGAAAATAGTTCTACAGCTTTGGATAGGAGGAACTATGGTGTGCGAAATCATTGTAAACTACTTCATCTTTTCTGGAGTTTGAGGTTATGACTGTCCTGCTACAAATTAAATAAAGCTTGCTTTGCCATACTGTTTTGTGTCCAGATTCTCAAACATTTGTTTAGTTGTTTCCAGGGAAGTAACCACTTAAGATTAGGCTCTGTTGTGTCCTTGGGAAGTAAACCTTATTTTTGACAACCAACTCCCTTCCTACCTCAAGAATACACATATTTCCCCTAAAAAACTCATCCAACTTTGTGCACCTTCCGACGAAAGAATGACCTTTTGCTCAGACAAGTTGATTCCTTCCTACTTTTGGACTCACTCACCTAAGGAAGCTTCAGGTCTGGACATCTGATACTAATTTTCCCTAGGGATAGCCAACAAACCTCATTCTCAAGCAAATATCGCATCTATAATAAACACCTAGGAAATTCCTCTGGAAGAAACTAAACCATTGCTTTTCTTCATTTAAAACTTTGCAAAAGAGAAAAGCTAATCAAGAATTGGGATTCAAATACAAATAACAGAAGTCCATATACTGTGATAAAATTGAGAAAAGGTATTTTAAGATAATTATTAATCTTATTTTGATTGACAAATCATACTTTTATATTTTATGGGGTACAATATGATGATTTTATATAAATACTATGTGGAACTATTAAATTGAACTAATTAACATACCCAACACTTTGCCTATCTATTTTTTTTTATGGTGAGATTTTGAAATCTACTCTCTTATTTTGAAATTACAATACGTGATTGTTGGTCATAGTGCCATACATCTGAAAACCTATTACACCTGTCTGACACTTTGTACACTTTGATAACAATTTCCCTTCTTTCCCTTTCTACTCCGCTCCCTAGCCTCTGGTAACCATTTGTCTATTCTCTGCTTCTATGAACTCAACTTTATTAGATTCCAAATACAAGGGAGATTATGCAGTAATTGTCTTTAGATGCTAGCCTTATTTCAGCTAGCATAAGGTCCTCCAGATTCATCTATACTGTTGCAAATTACAGGATTCCCCATCCGTCACCATCCTTTTAAGGTTGAATAGTACAAGGATACTTCAAAAAGTTTGAGGAAAAAAATGCAATTAAAAACTAAATTTATTTTGGTGCAAAAATTTTGAAATCCATGCTGGGTGTTTTCCATAATATCCATTTCATGAACCTTTTGGAAACCCCTCATGTACATATATTTAAAATTTTAGCACCAAAATCTAGCTATTAATTTCATTTTCTGTGAGCTTTTTGGAGTACCCTGATTGTGTATATTCTACCACGTTTCCTTTATCCATTCACTCAGTGGTGAACACCTAGGTTGATTCCCTATCCTGGCCACTGTGAGTAGCACTAGAGTGGGCGTGGAAGTGCCCACATATTTTTGATGTGTTAACTTCAGTTTTTTTTTGAAATGTTCCCAAAAGTGAGATTACTGAATCATGTGGTGATTACATTTTTTGTTTTTTGAGGAACCACATGCTGTTTTTCATAATAGCTCTATTAATTTATGTTCCACCAACAATGTTTAAGAGTTCCTTTTTCTCTGCATTCACTCACTCAACAATTGTTATCTTTTTGATACAGACCATCCTAACAGATATTAAGTGATCTCTCATTGTGGTTTTGATTTGCATTTCTCTAATATTAGTGTGCTGAGCATTTGACAAAAGCTAATTTTTGACATCCTTAATGCTGACTTATTTTGTGAGAGAACCCAGTACACAAGAAAGTTAAATTGTATGGAAGTAATAGTACAAGTGAATTAGAGGCTGGCGCCGTGGCTCAATAGGCTAATCCTCCACCTTGCGGCGCCGGCACACCGGGTTCTAGTCCCGGTCAGGGCGCCGGATTCTGTCCCGGTTGCCCCTCTTCCAGGCCAGCTCTCTGCTGTGGCCAGGGAGTGCAGTGGAGGACGGCCCAGGTGCTTGGGCCCTGCACCCCATGGGAGACCAGGAAAACCACCTGGATCCTGGCTCCTGCCATCGGATCAGCGCGGTGCGCCGGCTGCAGCGGCGGCCATTGGAGGGTGAACCAACGGCAAAGGAAGACCTTTCTCTCTCTGTCTCTCTCTCTCACTGTCCACTCTGCCTGTCAAAAAACAAAACAAAACAAAAAACAAACAAGTGAATTAGAAATGTGAAAAACAAAACCTGTGAGAGAGAAATAACTTAAAATAGATATAATCAATTCATATTGCCATCACACATCCTGGAATCCCTGTTTTTTTTTTTTTTTTTTTTTTTTTTCTCCTGAGGGAAAGCACAGAAATATTTGCTTCTCTTAGTTGATTAAAACTGATGAAAAGGCTAACATTTCCATTTAAATTGTATCTACTTTTAAATTTTAAAGTTAGCCAAACTGGAGACCCTTGTGTGATGAAAATATGAAAACCTAAACTTTAGTCCAGGCAAAAATCAGATCTCTAGGCAGTGACTACTTTTCTCATTTTTTTTTTTTAACTTTTATTTAATGAATATACGTTTCCAAAGTACGAATAATGGATTACTATGGCTTCCCCCCATACCGTCCCTCCCACCCACAACCCTCCCCTTTCCCACTCCCTCTCCCCTTCCATTCACATCAAGATTCATTTTCGATTATCTTAATATACAGAAGATCAGCTTAGTATAATTTTCTCATTTTTAAAACAGTGAATTAGACCAGATAGACCTTAATATTCTTCTGGCACTAATAATTTATGGATTGTATTTTTCTTTGTAAAGAAGATGAGTATTTTGAAACCAATGGAATTAAGTAATGTTCGTCCAGGAAGCACTTTATAAATGGACAGACTTCTTTAAAGTCAGACATCAGTTTTAAGCGGAAGGAACTCTTTAAAGTTTAGAAAGGAATAAGTGTTATTTTAGTTAAGTAAGTTTGAGGGAGTTTCTATAGAAAGATAAAATCACATAGTTTAAGGGGGGCAGAGTTAACCAGTCTCCCCTCCTTTATTTTGTCACAAAAGCTTGGTGACATAGCTAGAGTGACCAGCAGCCTGAATAAGCTGGCAGCAGAATCTTAGAATTCAGGAGCCAGGAGCCTGCTGGATCTCAGGCTACAAGCCCCGGGTGGGACTGGTGCATAGGAATTGAGCATTTGTGGATCTCTTTCTTCTGTGCCACGGGTGCACATCTCTTTCCAACCTCAGCTGCTATGCTACTGACCACCATTACACATGTGTGCTGTGAAACAATCCTATTGTGAGTGTGTGGTCTGGGCTTTACCGTGCCTTGTTGCAGGGAAGAGCAGAAGTGTGCCATCCAAACAGTTCCAACAGTCATTGATCCAGATAAGTGGTTCTGTTCTGGACCCCGTTCTGTTGAATGTATTGGTGACCAGAATGAAGGTGTAAAGCCTTTAACTAATTCTACAAGTCATCCTGAATCAGATGGCCACTACATGATTTATGGAGATGCACATAAAATATTTTGATGAATTTGATAATTGAGAAGTGACTCTGTATAGCCAGAATGGATTTATATATGGCAAGTACAAGTCACAGTATTTACAGAGATAAAACAACATGACCCAGACTTAGCTCTGGAGGAGCAGTGGAAATCAGGAGGTCTATGTTGATCTGAAGTTAAGTGAAACCTGCAAATGCTGTCTCAGAGGAACCGAGAAGCCAACCGGATATTGGGATGTGTTAAGATTAGTATTGGACTGACAGGCAAAATAGCCTGGTGCTAAAGTAAGCAATCAGGCTCAAAGTAGATTATCATATTCAGATTTGATTTCTACATTTATAAAAGCATGGCAAAAAAAACTGGGGAAGATCCCAAAATGAACAATGATAAAATCTAAAAGTTAACACATTCCGATTTGAAGAGAAAACACAAGATCTTTTTTAACTGAAAGAGGAGTAGCTTCAAGAGTATCCTCAGGGAAAAAGAAAGGTATTGGGATTTTCCCTCTCCTGTGCCTAGATTTGCAGAGAGTTTGTCTGACAGTGTCAGCAAAAGGGTAATGACTAAGGAGTACAGAGGGTGCCGGGCAGGGTGGCTTCACCCCACCGTCTCAGTAGTTGTAGGGCATGATTCTCCTGCTGCCCGTGAAGTCCAGCTTGCCTTGTCTTACCTGTAGCTCCTGTGTTGCACTAGTTCTGTAATCATGACTGCTCTTCCCTTGTACCCCGCATCTTCCCTTTCAGTCATCCCTCTTGGCGTCTAAGTTATAGGCAGAATTTTAGGCTTTGAGACTGGTATCTTGTGCCATGATTGGCAGTCCAGGACTCCAGTGTCGTGGACCTGATGAAGCTCCCTGACTTGTAAGAAGACTTCCTGGGAGTTCTGTACCTACGGAAGAGAAACATCAAAGTGCCCACATGCTCCAGTTTTGGCTAACTCCATTTGTATCAATTTCCTACATGCTTGGGTGTTTTCACACCCATTTCTGGGTTCCCATCTTCTTCCCCCTGTGCACTTGGTGTGTCCTTACCACCCGCACCAGTGTCAGCGCCCTTGTGACTGAAGAAGTCCTTGGTGGGAGTTCTTTTTAGGTCTGCTTCCTTTATCCCTATTACAGACCACCCCTGCAATGTCCTGTTCTTGGATCCTCTTTAATGACCTAACTTCTTTAACCTCTGATTTTTTTTCAGCTCATCAAAGTGGCTTTGGAGAAAAGCCTAGCAACTGTGGACACCCCAGACATGTCGCTTTCCTCCCCCTCCCCAGTAGGCGGGGACAGTAACAGGTGTCTTCAGGAGGAAATGCTGCAACTGAGGGCTGAGGTTCACCAGCACTTAGAGGAGAAGAGAAAAGCTGAGGGGGAACTGAAGGAGCTAAAGGCTCAAATTGAGGAAGCAGGATTCTCCTCTGTGTCCCACATCAGGTAGGATGTTCTGCCAAGAGAGGGGAGCTTCCTAGGCATGAGGCACCGTGGCCAAGGCAGTCACTTTGCTGCAACCAGGGCAATCATGTTGCCATGGACTGCTTAGTCCACATCCCAGGCTCTGGGCATGAATGCTTCCATACATTCTTTAGAGAAAAAAATCAGTAATGTTAGGTTAACGGTAATCCTCTGCTACTTTTCTCATAGCATTAGCAGGAAGCTGGATTGGAAGTGGAGCAGCCAGGACACGAACTGGTGCCTGCATGGGGTGCTGGCATTGCAGGTGGCAGCTTTACCTGCTATGCCACACACCAGCCCAATAATTATTTTTAAAAAAGATTTATTTATTTGTTTGAAAGGTGGAGTTGCAGAAAGAGAGAGGGAAGACAGAGAGAGTGAGATCTGCCATCCGCTGGTTCACTCCTCCAATGGCTCTGATAGCCAGGGCTGAGCCATCCCAAAGCCAGGAGCCAGGAACTTTATCCACACCTCCCACATGTGGGAGGGACAGTGGATCAAGTACTTGGGGCATCATCTGCTGCCTTCCTTGGCACATTAGCAGGAATCTGGATCAGAAGTGGAGCAGCTGGGACTTGAACTGGTGCTAACATGGGATGCTGGTGTCGCAGGCGGTGGCTTACCTTGAAGCCCCACAATGCCGGCCTCCACAAGCAAATAATTATATAGGTACATTTGCTTATAATTCTGATTAGCATTATTTATTCCTTCGGTGTTCCTAGGTCCCTATTTATCATCCATTGGTTTAAAACTGTTGGTGATTATAATTAATGCAATTATATAATCCACTACAATACAATTATTGCAGGCAGGGGCCTTTCTGCTCTTTTCTTTAGAGTGTAAGTCCCCATTTTGTTTTGTTCAGAGGCCACTGACAATTGGAACACAGGAGGCTGTGTGGCTCAGGGTGTCTCGAGACCAAGAGTTTAATGAGGCACTGTGGACGTATGGGCAAGTCTCTCGGCCTTCCTGAGCCTTGATTTTCTCATCTGTGAAATAGGGGAGCTGTTGGAAATCTATGAGGTTACTTTATGCTCTGGGGTGTCTCTGAGTGAAATCATGGAATTAGATGCGGGTAAAAGGGACTATTAGCAGCTGTGGTGAAGCCCAGCCCCAGCCCCTGATTGTGTCTGTTTCCACCAGGAACGCCATGCTGAGCCTTTGCCTTGAGAATGCAGAACTGAAAGAGCAGATGGGAGAAGCAATGTCTGATGGATGGGAGATAGAGGACGACAAGGAGAAGGGCGAGGTGATGGTGGAGACTGGGGTCACCAAAGGGGGTCTGAATGACAGCAGCCTTCAGGCTGAGTTCAGAAAGCTCCAGGGAAAACTGAAGAATGCCCACAACATCATCAACCTCCTCAAAGAACAGCTGGTGCTGAGCAGCAAGGAAGGGAAGAGTAAACCCACTCCGGAACTCCTTGGGCATCAGGATAAGGAGGCTGACGGAAGCAACCCGGAACTGCATTGTTCTCTGGAGAAGCACCAGGGCCAAGAGGAGGATGTGAGCATGAAGCCCTGCCCCAGACCCCAGAGCCTTGACCTTGGAGCTGCCCGCCCTGTGGATGCACAGCAAGTATGTGTGGGCATGGATGAGATAAAAAAAAAAATACACACTTGGAGAAGGGCTGGAGATACCAGTCTTTACCTTAAACAATTCTGCCTTTTGTGTCAGGAGATACAGAGGGAAGAACACCTTTGCGCCAAAAACAGTGGTGATGATAATATTCTGTACACAGTCTGCCCTAGAATGCTTTTACAGCAGTATCTCATGAATGTTTCCTGAGTGCTTAATTTTCCAGGTAACACAGTAGGCATTAGCAGCAGGCAAAAAAGCCTGACCAATGCCTTTGAGGACCTCAAGATGGTGGGGAAAGAGGCCATAGGTTGTGGCAGCTGCTGTGGTGTAGGGATGCACTGGGTTTGAGGCAGCGCAGATTGTCACTGTGCAGTGACAACTCTTCTCACCGCCATTTTTATCACAGCTCATCACAGCTCACCACAGCTCACACAGTTCCTGGGTCTCAGAAGGGTTGTTGGGGTCCCTTTAAGGGAAGCAGCTTTGCTGAGGACTTAGTAAAGTGAAGAATACAGAGGGATCTGAGATGGCCCCTGCAGAAGGAAAGCAGGGAGATGGCATTTGTTTACTGAGGTCTCCTGTCCAGATTTGAGTGGTGCTGTGCCAGGTGCTGTAGATACAGAGATGAATAAAGCAAATCCGAGTTCTCCAGGAGTCCTGTCTGGAAAATAAGAAACTGCCGGATGGCGTGAGAAGTGCTGTGACAGACACATGCATTGAGTCCACAGGGGTCAGAGGCTGAAGTGTCTGCTCCTGGGTGTGGGATGAGCTTGCACTGCCCTGATCCCTGTGTTGGCCCCTTTCACAGCTGGATAACCAGTCCCAGGCGTGGGACCCTGTGCCTCAGTCAGAATTTAGCCTCCCAGGGTCCACCAAGCACCTACGCTCCCAGCTGGCACAATGCAAACAACGCTACCAAGATCTCCAAGAGAAGCTGCTGATCTCAGAAGCCACTGTGTTCGCCCAGGCAAACCAGCTGGAGAAATACAGAGTCATATTCAGTAAGTCTTGCAAGTTCACTGTCACCACAGTGTCTGTCTGCTTCTTGGGCAGCTACAGGTTCCACAGACTTGATTTTTCTTTCCCAACCTGAAAACAAATTTAATCCCGACCATCTTCCTGGAATTGTGGAAGTGGACCTTTTACTTCCATTAGCAGATGGTAGAAAAGAATAAACAGAGCAAGTAAGGTTTCGAGTTTGCAGTGAGAGGATAGGCAAGAAATGGGCTGACCGTCTAGGTTTGCTGCTTTGTGGTGTACCCAGTACACTGCTGTACTTCTGTCAACCTAGTTAACGGTATTTCCTCTGCTCGTCTTTGCACCATATCAGACTTTCCAAAAAGATACCATCACTGTTGGTCTAGCATCAGCACGGCCCAGAACTTCCTGCAGTGGATGGGAATGTCTCCTATGTACATCACATGTAGCCATTGACTACATGAAACATGGCAAGTGCAACAGGGAATTTTTTTTTTTTTTAGTATTTTAAGTTTTTTTTTTTTTTGACAGGCAGAGTGGCAACAGGGAAATTTTAAGTTTTATTTAATTGTAATGAATTTAACATAAAATAGTCATGTAGACTGTATGTGAGGTACATGTGGCCAGTGACTGTCTTATTGGACAATGCAGGTCTGGATGCCTTAGGACTCTAAATTAGTAAAGCTCTGTTCAAGTGATTACTGAGTCCCTGGACATAAAGCACTTGCTGGCTCCACGGGGGCTTCAGGGATCATACATGCAACACCCGACTTTCAGATATAACTGAACCGATGTTATTTGAAAGGGAGGCCAACTTATGCTGCATAAAGTAGGTGTTCTCTGCTCTCACCTGAGTCCAAACAAAGCATCTACCCCACTCTGGATTTGATCTCCCAACCCCTAAAGGCACTGAGGTTGAGGGAGTGCATTTATATTCTGAAACACTCATTAGTCTCTCCCAAGCAGGTGAGTCCCTGGTGAAGCAAGACAGCAAGCAGGTCCAGGTGGACCTCCAGGACCTGGGCTATGAGACCTGTGGGCGGAGCGAGAACGAGGCTGAGCGGGAGGAGACCACAAGTCCTGGTAAGAGTGCAGGGTGTGGGGTCCACCTTCCCTCACATTTGGGTGCTCCTGGCCAATACCCCTCCTGAGAAGTAGAAGGGGAAGAGGGTGTTGTGACTGAGGGAGACACAGGACATGGGAGGATTTGAATTCAGGCTCCGCCATGTGCTAGCTGGAGTGATCTGGAATACATTCGTTTACCTTTCTCTGAGTGCGGGTTTACACAGTGAGTAACCTAGAAAGTGACCGTTCCTAACTTTCAGGGCTGTCGGGAGGTTCAGAATAACCCGGCTGAATAAGGTTCTGCCTCAGCTTTTGCTCGAGTGACTATTGTCCTCATAGCCAAACCCGCCTCCCCTCACAGGGAGGGGTCACTGCAGAACATGGAGCTTCTGTTCAGGAAGATGTCTTTGTCCTTTTCCAGAGTGTGAGGAGCATGACAGTCTCAAGGGAATGGCCCTCAGGGAGGGGCTGTGCTCCGGGCAGGGATGCCTGGGCCCGGCCCTGGCCAGCACCCCCGGGAAGAAGCCCTCGGAGAGCCAACTCAGGAAACAAGAGTTCCAGGCATACGGGAAATCAGAAGACATCTCGGCCCTGCAAAAGGACATCAGGGATCTGAAAGCCCAGCTGCAGAATGCCAACAAGGTCATCCAAAACCTCAAGAGCCGGGTCCGGTCCCTATCGGTCACGAGCGATTACTCATCGAGTCTGGAGAGACCCCGGAAGCTGAGGGCTGTCGGCACCCTTGAGGGGTGCTCTCCTCGTAGTGTCACTGATGAGGATGAGGGCTGGCTGTCGGATGGCACCGGGGCCTTCTACCCGCCAGGGCTTCAGGCCAAAAAGGATCTGGAGTGCCTTATCCAGAGAGTCTCCCAGCTGGAGGCCCAGCTGCCGAAAACCGGACTGGAAGGGAAACTGGCCGAGGAACTGAGATCAGCTTCGTGGCCTGGGTAAGGAGGGCAGTGTCGGGCCCGTCCTCGATTGACGACGTCTAAGTTTGTGCTGGGAGTAGAGAAGCCCAGGCAGGTAAAAGAGAGAACATATATAGGCAGTCATGCGGGCACTTGCTGCCGTGGTAGACGTAGGTCTCTGGAAAGGACAGATAGACGAACAGCAGGCTGGGAGCTGCCAGGTCTCTGGAATGTCCCTGCAGGCATTTAGTAGAAAAGTGACAGTATGGGTAATACAGCACAGTAGGAAGAGCCAAATTGGAGAACCTGGGTTCAAATCCCGGCTCTGCCATTTACTACCTGTGCAACCCACCCATCCTGCCTCAGCCCATTTCCTTACCTATTAAATGAAGATAATAAAAGAATACACCTCAGAGAGGGGGTGGTTATTAGGTTTAAAAGAATTAATACAAGTGCTTAGAATAGTGCCTAACATATCTTAATCTCTCCAACCCTATTTGCCATCGTTATCATTGGTATTGATGCTTTGCATTGAAAAACACTGGGTAAACATTCATCTTGGCATGTCCTGGTCATCCATTGCTAAGAAAAAGCCTCCTGAAAACTTGATGACTCTGGATGATGAGCCGTCATCTCTGCGGGTTGACTTGGCTCATGGGGTCCTGCATGGGGCTGCTGTTAGGTGGTAGCCAGGGCTGGAGCCAGCTGAAAGGCCTGACCGGGTGGTCACCGCTCCTTTAGGCACCTGTGTGCTGACTCTGTGCTCCTTGGCCCCTCTCTTTCTCCATGAAGCTCCTGTCTTCCAGGGCCTCTCTGCCTGACTTCAGCTTCTCCTAGCGCGGGGGGTCTCAGGTACTTTCATTTCCATGGGGCAGTGGCTTCTAAGGCAGGAAGTACAAGTTGCCAGGCCGGTTAAGAACCACTCCTGGACTTGACTCCGTGTTACTTTCTCTCTATTATCTTGGTGTAAGTGGTCACAGGGACTGCTCAGATGTAAGGGGATGAATACCCTCTAGCTGCTGAAGGAAAGAAAGCTGTATTGCAGAAGACGTGGGGTGGGAGCTGTGTAATGGACGCAGTATCATAGTATACAAGAAATCCAGACATCGCAGGGTGTGTAGAGTAGAAGACGTGGCAGGTCCCATGTGTATTTAGGGTGAAGTGTTTCTAAGTGTTTACTGGGGATCTGCTGCGTGTCTACACTGTACTGGTACTGGACAGGATGTTAAATATGGCATTGTCTTTACCTCACCGAACTTATGATTTGGTTTTGGACATTGGACTGACATATATTTGGACATTTGACTAGCTCATAAAAACAGTTGAAGGACAGGAGCAGTAGCTGTTTTTCCTTTGCTATTGTAGTTTTCCAGAGCAGAATTTACTCTTTTTTGTTTTTTAAGCCTGAGCCTGGTTTTTTTTTTTTTTTTTTTTTTTTTAGATTTGTCTATTTATTTGAAAGGCAGAGTTACACACACACACACACACACACACACAGGGGGAGAGAGAGAGAGAGAGAGAGAGAGAGAGAGAGCAAGCTTCATCTGCTGACTCACTCTCCAAATGGCCATAACAGCCGGAGCTGAGCCTTTCTGAAGCAGGAGCCAGGAGCTACTTCCAGGTCTCCGATGTGGGTGCAGGGGCCCAAGGACTTGGGCCATCTTCTACTGCTGTCCCAGGTGCATTAACAGGGAGCTCGATCAGCAGTGGAGCAGCCGGGACTCGAACCAGCGCCTATATGGGATGCTGGTGCTGAAGGCGAGAGTTTACCTGCTATGCCACAGTGCCAGCCCCAGAATTTACTCTTAAATACTTCCGATGACTTTAGCTGGAAGAGTTTCTTAGAGATATTCTCACAGAAACCTCTACAAAATCTCCATAACTTACCACTCACTCTTTCCCTTTTTTCTTTAAAAAATGTTTGATTTAAAAATATTTCAAATATAGGAAAATATAAAGATGAATTCAATGAGCACTCAGAGACTGAATAATTTTTAACTTTTTGCCATGTTCACTTCATATGTAAGTATTATGTATATACACATATGTACTATTTTTCCTGAGAGAAGGAATGGATATATATGTATACATATATATATATATATATATATAATTTGACAGATAGAGTTAGACAGTGAGAGAGACAGAGAGAAAGGTTTTCCTTCTGTTGGTTCACTCCCCAAATGGCTGCTAAGGCCAGCGCTGAGCCGATCCGAAGCCAAGAGCCAGGTGCTTCCTCCTGGTCTCCCACGCGGGTGCAGGGCCCAAGCACTTGGCCCATCCTCCACTGCCTTCCCGGGCCACAGCAGAGAGCTAGACTGGAAGAGGAGCAACAGGGATTAGAACCCAGTGCCCATATGGGGTGCCGGCGCCGTAGGCAGAGGATTAACGGAGTGAGCCACAGCGCTGGCCTCCAGGAATGGATATATTAATATAATGTGGGATTCATGAAAAATATCATAAAGTTGAGATAGAAAAGTATATTATTATGTAACAGGTATAATTCAGTGGTGACAAATTTTATAAACACCTATATGCCAAATAATATGACATCCACATTTGTATGCTATGTATATGTATATATATGTATATATGTGTGTATATATATGTATATATACATATATATACATATATACACATATGTATTAACTTCCACAAATGAAAGAAAACCTATGGTGTTTATCTTTCCATGTTGTATTTACTTCACTTAGCATAATGATCTCTAGTTCCATCTATTTTGTTGCAAATATCAGGATTTCATTCTTTTTTATGGCTCAGTAATATTCTACTGTGTGTGTATGTATACCCACCACACACACACACACACACACACCACACTCTCTTTATCTGGCCATCCACTGATGTGCATCTGGGTTGATTCCATATTTTTGCTGTTGTGAGTTAGGCTGCTATAAACAGGGAGTTCAGGTGTGTGCTTTCATATGCTGACTTCATTTTCTCTGCATATATAACCAGAAGTGGGATAGCTGAGTCTATTTTTAGGTTTTTGAAGATTCTCCATACTGTTTCCCATATTGGCTGTACTAATTTGCATTCCCACAAACAGTTTTCTTTTCTCTATATCCTCATGGGCATTTGTTATTTTTTGATTTTTGTTAGTAGCCATTCTAACTGGAATGAAATGGTGCTTCACTGTGGTTTTTATTTGCATGTCCCTAATGGCTAGTGATGCTGAGCCTTTTTTCATGTGGTTGTTGGCCACTTGTATTTCTTCTTTTAAAAAATGTCTATTCATATCCTTTGCCTATTTCTTCACTGGATTGTTTGTGTTGAATTTCTTCAGCTCAATGTATATTCTGAATATCAATCTTTTATCTGATGCATAATTTACTAATATTCTCTCTTATTCTGTTGGTTGTCTGTTCAGTCTGTTGATTGTTTCTTTTTCTGTGTGAAGAATCTTCCTAGCTTGATGTAATCCTGTTTGTCTGTATTTACTTTTTTTGGCTGTGCTTTTTTAGTCTTATCTAAAATGTTAATGCCTGTGCTGGTGTCTTGGAATATTTCCCCTGTGTTTTATTTTAGTTGTTTCACAGTTTCAGGTCTTAAGTTCAGTTCCTTGATCCATGCTGGGTTAATTTTTATATTGGGTATAAGGAACTGGTCTTGTTGCAATCTTCTACATGCAGAAATCCAACTTTCCCAACACATTTTATTGAATTGAAAAGACTCATTTCCAGAGAATCTTTTTTCAGTACCTTTGTTAAAGATAAGTTGATAGTAGGAATGTGGATTTGGAGGGGGGTGTTTCTGTTCTGTTCCATTGCTCTACATGTCTGTTTTTATGCCAGTACCTTGTAGTATGTCTTAAAATCTGGTATTATGATGCCTCTTAATCTCTTTTTTGCTTTTCTGCATTAGGAAATATGATTCCCTGATTCAGGATCAGGCCCGAGAATTATCTTATCTCCGGCAAAAAATTAGAGAAGGGAGAGGTATTTGTTATCTTCTCACCCAGCATGCAAAAGATACAGTAAAATCTTTTGAGGACCTCCTAAGAAGCAATGACATCGACTACTACCTGGGGCAGAGCTTCAGGGAGCAACTCGCCCAGGGAGGCCAGCTGACTGAGCGGCTCACCAGCAAACTCAGCACCAGTAAGTTGTCCATGGGACTTTGGAATGTTCTTGGTCACTCCCACAGCCCCAGGCCCAGCTGTTCAACATAGCTGTGCTGCAGATTTTCAGTCTGCATCCTGTTTCCACTTCATGTCAGGGGTGTTATTACAGGATCAGGACTGGCCAGCGGGGAGGCTGGGAAGAACATGTGTGGCTGGAGCTGCCATATTTACAGCTATTGAGACTTCCTCACTCACGGAGTGTGGCCTTTGGGACAGGAGGCAGCCGTCATTTGTTTCTAATGGGGGAAAGGAAGATGAGATAACAGACCTTGTTTCAGTGTGCACAGCCTGGAGTTGCAAAACCCGAGCTCTAGCCTGGATGCTGCCATCAGCTTGCTTTGGGCTCGCGGCTTCTTTCAGTGTCTCTGTTTCCTCATTTATCACTTAGTATTACATGTGCTTGTACTTCAGATGTGGAGGAAGATCCCTGCAGTTTTGGAGATAGTTAAGATACTGGCTGAAGCAGTTAAGGCTAGGTGATCATTCAAGCTCTTTACTTAGAATTTCCTGAGAGCACTTGAGGGAGTACAGCAAGCTCATACTTGGGGACCGAGCAGCCCATCTACTGGTGGCAGGGGCAGCGTTGGGACAGGAAGGTCTGGCACCTTCTTGGAGACAAGATCAGGGTCCACATGAAAGCTGTGAAGGGGCACACTGCTGTACTTCTGAGAGCTAGTCTGTGCCTGGACACGGAGGCCGGAGTGCTCCAGGGGGTCGCTGGGCAAGGCCTCATAATCAATGGGACAAAAGCCGTTGTACCTTTCTGCTGTGATTCAGGGCAGGGAAGTCTGACGGTGACAGCCAGGTCATGGGAGGTGGGCCTGGGGAGCTCAGGGGAGCTTGCTGGCCCACTGCTCTGAGCACACAAGGTGAGGCCTCTGAGAATAGTCATCCTGAGTGCACACCTGGAGTGACCACTGTTCGGTGTCCAAACAAGCTCTGGGTTTGGGATATGTGAAGTGAGACCCATGTAAGTTCTCATTGCTTCTTTCTATTCTTGGTTTGCAGAGGATCATAAAACTGAGAAAGAACAAGCTGCACTTGAGCCGCTGGCCCTCAGGTAACTCAGGACAGAGCCTGGGAAAGAGATCAGGACCCAGGCCTAATGGGTCCAGGGTGGCTTCAACTTACAAACCAGGGGAAATAAGGAAAGTGACATTCATTGAGCACTTTATGATTGTTTTAACCCAAAGTCTTTATTGTAACTTGATTTAGACCCATTGACACACTAATTCTACAGGTTTAGTAATCTAGATGCAGTGTGACCTAAAAGTGGGTTAAGCTACCACTTGGAACACCCACATCGCATATCAGAGTGCTGGTTTGAGTCCTTGCACCTCTGTTCCTGTTGTAGCTTCCAACTAACGTACCTGGGAAGGCAGTAAATGATGTATAAGTACTTATGTCCCTGTCCACCCACGTAGGAGACTCGAATGGAGTTCTGAACTCCTGACCTTGGCCTGGCTCAGCCCTGGCTGTTGGGGCAGGGGGCAATTTGGGAAGTAAATCAGAGGATAGAAGATTCTGTGTGTGTGTGTGTGTGTGTGTGTGTGTGTGTGTATGTCTCCCTCCTTGTCACTCTGCCTTTCAAATACATAAATTAGATAAATCTTTTAAAAGATAAGTAAAAATGAACTAACTAGATTTCAAGTCTTCTGCACCCCTGGGGGTCTTCCCAGCTGTCCCCAGTGTGTCTACCAACCATGGTGAGCCTTTTGCAAAGTCACCTCTCTTGAGTTGGATCAATGGCTGGTTTAATAGCCACCCTATTTCCTTGGGGAGTAAAGAATTGTATGAGAGTACTTAGAGAAAGGCACTTAGATAGCAGATTCTTGGGAGGGTACATGCCCCAGAATGAGTCACTGCATAGAATACACAGGAAAATAGTTACTCAGAGTCAGTTGTAAACAGTAGTTTCAGCTCTTTGTGTCACGATTGTATCTTAGACCTTAGTACCTTAGTGCTTCTCAAAATATCAGCAGTGAAGGACAAGTTGTGTGGCTTCTATTTTTTTTTCTAATCCATCACATGGTCTAATCAACTAGATGATTCCACTTATGCTCTTGGATGTTGTGACTATATCCAATTGCTCTGCGTTTCTCAACTCCCACTTTCAAATTTTTGCACTTGTCTTACTGGAGAGGAGAACAGAGAGGTCTCAGAGGACAACTGTTCTGGGCATATACTTCACGCAGCATTGCCTTGGAGGTGGCATGTAGAATGACACATCACGTGGCCAGTGCATTGGGTAGCTACCATTGTCTCGCCCTGCACACCCATCTACTCTTCATCCCTAGTTGGAAATAAGTTATTTGGATTATTCTCTGTGGGAAGGGCTGCCTTGGCGCGTGAGGGTTTTCCCACGGGCTTTAGTCAGGACCTTGGTTTCACCTGTCGCCTTCCCTCTCCCCACCAGGCTCACCAGGGAGCTGCAGGAGAAGGAGAAAGTGATTGAAGTCCTGCAGGCCAAGCTGGATGCCCGGTCCCTCTCGCCCCCCAGCAGCCATGGCTTGTCTGACTCCCACCGTTCTCCCAGCAGCACCTCCTTCCTGTCTGATGAGCTGGAAGCCTGCTCTGACATGGACATAGCCAGCGAGTACACACATTATGAAGAGAAGAAAGCTTCACCCAGCCACTCAGGTAGCCTCCATGTTCAGAATGCCATCACCTTTATCTAGGCTGAGGGAAGACCTTGGGAACCAGGTCTTATAGATCCACCTTGGTGTGTATCAGGCTGAACGTGGCTCTGGGACCAAGTGCCAAGCACAGGCTACAGTGGGTCAGGATCTTTGGTCTGCTGCTGTCCTCCAAGTGACTCTGTTGTCCTATTGGAACCAAGGTGAGCTGTAGTGGGAAGCAGGAGAAATCTGCAGATATTCCATTGATGGAACTCCTTCTTTAAGATGGGCCATCATCTCTCTTACAATGATCCTGCTTCTTGCTCCTCAGAGTATCTGTGGGTACCCACAGAGGTGGCCATTCTTTTCTGATGCATTTGGAGGTACCATTTTTATGATTTCAGGGTTTGGGGCCCAACTCTCAACCCTAAGGTAGTTTACCTCGCTAAAGGAGCCACCTTCAAGGACGAAAATGAAGGTTACTAACAGTGCCTGTGCTTGGTGCTTTCCCCGGAAGCCAGACTCTAACCCTGGTACTCTTGGTGAAATATAAGGCCAGGCTGCCAGTTCTTTCTAGAACATCAAATTTTTTTTTCATTCATGGGTTTTATAGATTCCATCCATCATTCGAGTCATTCTGCTGCATTGTCTTCTAAGCCATCAACAACCAGTGCATCTCAGGGGGTTAAGGCCGAATCCAGCAGCAACCCAATCATCTTGACAACTCCCCAGAGCCCCCCAAAGGAGACCAGCCAGGCCCAGCCAGGTATGCAATAGCTAGTGGAGCAGTAGCTTCGTCTCTTCTCCCTCAGCGCTTTCATTCTCCCAGGGACAAGGCTTGGGCCTGTTAGGGTCTCATTCGCATCAGCTCCAAGACAAAAATAAGAGACCATCCTCATTCACCAATTTGTTTTGTTTGTCTTCAATATTTTAGTTTTAAATATTTTAAACTTTTGATTTTGCTTACATGTTTTAGGAAATGTGTAATCTACAGAAGGGGTTGATCTGCATACCAGGTTTGGCCAATAGTCGGCTAATCATTTAAAAATAAAGTTTCACTGCTTTCTCTGATCTTACCCTGGGGACTAAAAAGGAAAAATGCCTCTCCCAGAATTAAAACAGCGGGGGACTCACAGAAGTGCACACCTGCTGATCTACTCCCGTTCCCCATTTCATCCGCAGAGAGCCTCTTCAGCTCTCTGAAGAGGGAGGCTTCAGCGGGAGCCTCCAGCGTCCCCAGACGAGGCTGTTCCCAAGGCACTACCATTCATGGACTGGTGAATGCAATGGTGCTCCTTGATTTGTACCTGGTGCATATGCAGGGGTTATCTAGAAGCGTGCATTTCATTTTCTTGCCTCAGCTTAGCTGCCAGGGCTGCACTGTTCATGCACAGCCCCGCACCAGGGATGGCAGGAAAACAGCAAACCTGGTCGTCTTCTCATCTCCTGCTATGACTACACTTGATCTTAGCCAAAAGGCTGAGAAGGGATTCCTGCTATGACTGACAAGCTGTCTTCACTGTGGTTTGAGTTGAGAGCTAACTCAGGCTGAGGCGCTCTCAGAAAGCATGGTGCCTTCTTCTGCCACCCACATCTCTCCTGAGGGCAGTTCAGCAAGAAGATATCAACGAAGAGGCAGTGTTCTGACTCTTCCTGAGCTCAGGCTCAATGTTTCTGGGGCCAGAGCGGACTGGGAGATCACAGGGAAAAGCTGTTTTTCCAGAGCTGTGGACCCCGGCTTACCTGCTTTGGGTCTAAGCAGAGCAAAGTGAAGGGATTTAAAATCCAAATTGCTTCCCCAAGGGTGCCTGGGCTGTGTCACCTGGTGACTCAGGGGCCTGCCATGGTGTCAGCATCAAAGGGCCAGGGCTGTGATTGAGAATGGAAGCATTGAGTCCTACATTAGACATCCCACAGCTCAGTCTTGATCTCTGCTCCCTCCGTGTGCAACATCCCCTGGCACTGTTTGTAGGAAAGAGGAGACAGATGTAAACATTGGAACTTCCCAGGGTTCCTGAGGACCCGACTGGAGATGGGCTGCATAAAGATCACCTGCAAATTTCCCAAGTTTATTCCCAGAGTTTAAAATTCGGTAGTTCTGTATTAAGGCCTAATGAAGAATTTTTCCTAAATGATTAGAATGCCCGGTCACTGTAGCTAAGCCATGCCATGAGGCCTCTATTTTTCATTTGAAGAATATGCACACTGAGTTGGGATTCGGAGGTCTCCTTTCATTCCGGGTCCTGAATTGCATGTACTAGCACGTTCTCCCACAGCCTGTGTCCACTACTGCCCTTCTCAGGATGGCTACTGATGCTACCAGAGGAGGAGCTCTAGATGCAGGGGGAATCTTGTCCCGGGGACAAAGACAGGTCCATCTGGGAGCAGCACCCCAGGTACCCTGGAGAGCACTCAGGCTCGGCCATCCTGACCTGCTGGGGTGTGGCTCAGTCAGGCCCCCTTGGCTTCTAGATGAACACAGAACATGTGTGCAGGACAGCCCTGTCTGGGGAGAAGGGGGAGGGGCCAGCCAGGCCAGCCTCTCTGGGAGCAGTGATCTGTGCTGGCCGTCTCAGTCTGCACTGCATTCAGTTACAGCCACCCCCCAAAGTGACATCTGCTCAGGGAATGGTTTCACCTTCTCCGTCTTTTATCTTCTCCCTTCTCTTGCTTTCTCTTTAATGGAGTATCTCTTTCCTCCCTAACTCTCTGTTTCTAGGCTTTCGTTTTAACTCCATGCCCAAGCTGGTTAGCCTCCCCCAGCCACCACTGCCCTCAGCTCCATCCAGCTTCCTGCCTTTCAGCCCCCTTGGCCCTCCCCTCGGCTGCTGTGAGACGCCGGTGGTCTCCTTGGCTGAGGCTCAACAGGAGTTGCAGATGCTGCAGAAGCAGTTGGGAGAAAGTGAGCACTTCCTGCTGCGTTTGTGTGCTTGCGAGTGGCAGCCCCACACTGTGCTGCTCTGCATGGCTTTGGCTTGACGGCAGAGTTAAAAACACAACCCAGGGGTACGCGCTGCCGATGGAAGGTGGAGGGAGAGCTAGCTCTGCTTGCTGTTTTGGAAATGCATTTACTGTGGTCTTTGGCATGTGTGTCTCATCAGTCAGAGGGGGCGTATGTTCTGAGGCTCTAGACCTGGGGCTCACCCGCTGTTGACAGTGTTGGGTACCACAAGGATGCTGAATCCCTGACGGAGTGGTGAAGTGCTTCCTGGTGGGGTGCAAAACAGACTTCATGCCACGCAGGATGGCGTGGCCATGACAATGATGGCCACGTTTGAGTGGGATTCCTTGTGTGGCTATCATGTCCTGCTGCTACAGAATACTTTCAATCAGGTTCAGTTCCTGAATCATTGATTTGGGGCAAAAAGGGTGGTGGCAGAGGGAATCAGAAGTGGACATGACAGAGCCCCTTTTCCTATTGTACTAGGTCCATTCCTGCCCCAGGACAGATGGCTCCTGGGCAGCTAGTACCACATCCCTAGGATGGGATGTCTGATTGTGAATTGTGTCCTCTGACTGCCAAACATAGTTGATTTTATGCAGTCATGTAATCCAGAGACTGTCCAATAATCTTTTAGGAGAGGATTTTGTCTCATCATATTTTTTGTGTGTGTGTGACCTCTTAAAGTTTGGGGTGGAGGGGAGCCTCATATGACGAATTTGTTCTCCAGTGGTGCTTTACAAAATTAGAAATCAGTGTGAAATAAGCTTAAAACTATATCTTGTGTCTATAAAAGAAGCTCGAGTGAGCTGGAGATTGATGGCAAGGTTTTTTTGTGCCCCAAGACTACAGCCAGGAGTTTGTACCCCTGAAGCCTTAAATGTCATTTGGCCCAGCCTATTGCTTTTGTAGATTCTGAAAATAGATACTCTGTATAATCTGTTTCTAGTTTGATTTTCAGAACTAGCTAGACCAAGACCATTTTCAATAGAGTTTGTCCATTCAGTAAGCAGTGAAATCTAAGGGACAAACTCTTCTGTTTATCAGCTTTGCACAGGTGGAGCTGTGTTGGGTTTACCTGTCCACATGGTCTCGGTCTTACTTGAACCTTCCCAAACTTCTGTGCAATAGATAGAGCCAGCGCAGGCCACCAAGGCTGAGAGAAGTGGAGTCACTCATTCAATAGCACTAGTAAGTGGGTGGTGTGGGCTGGAACCCAGTCTTCTGCTCCAGGTTCCATGTCTCTGTTATACCCTTTCTATTTAGGGTGGACTTTTCACTATCATGCTCAGGGTGTGGGACTGAACAAAACTGGAGACTGCAACAATCTTTTCTCTCCCTTTAGAGACCAGTGGGAGGTGCTGGTGTTTCTGACCTAAAACTCATTACTTTAGTATTACTGGCACCAACAATTGATGGGTAACACGTGTCCTAATTAAGAGAGTCTTTAGCTTCCATTTCTTTTTTTTTTTTTTTTAAGATTTATTTACTTATTTGAAAGCCAGAGTTACACAAGAGAGAGAAGGAGAGGCAGAAAGAGAGAGAGATCTTCCATCTGCTGGCTCACTCCCCAGTTGGCCACAATGGCCGGAGCTGAGCTGATCTGAAGCCTTGAACCAGGAACTTCTTCCAGGTCTCCCACGTGGGTGCAGGGGACCAATAACTTGCTGCTTTCCCAGGCCATAACAGAGAGCTGGATTGGAAGTGGAGCAGCGGGGATCGAACTGGCACCCATATAGGATGCCGGCACCATAGTTGGTGGTTTTATCTGCTGCGCTACAGCGCTGGCCCCCTTCCATTTCTTTACCTCATATCCTTTTTCTTTATCTTCCTGTGTTTGTTAACTTATTTCTGTCCAAAGGGAAAGATGAAGGAGAGTACTCTGCATGAGTCTGTGACTGTGGGTTGAACTGGAGTCATAGCTAGCATGAGGCCATTAACGGGAATGTGGATGGTCCCAGCCTTTGTGATGAAGGTTATGGCTCCTTCCTTTCCCCACTTAAAGGCCAAGTCCTCTCCAAGGGACCATCACTTACCAATGCTTACTGTTTCCTATGAATAAATTTTCCTTGTGGACCGTGGTGCATGGCAGCTTCTCAGGTTATGGTGGGACTGATCCCTCCTTGTTAATACCTTTATTACTTTGCACCATTGAGGGCTGGTGCTCTGGACTGAGGGGCCAGGGGACACTGGAATATGGGAACACTAATCATTGCTACTGATAGACTGGGACTCTCCCATGACCTTGGTTAAACAGTAAGCTGTCTACAACCACTAGTGTTAGCCTTTGTCTTGTGTTGGGGTGACATTGAACAAGGTATGAAAGAGGGTAGAAAATCATGTCTTTATTGGATTTCTAATAAGATTTAGATACTGGAAGCTTCAATTCCTCTTTAACTCCCAGTGATCCTAATAGGAATCTAGCATTTTATGAATTGGGGAAGGAGCGACTCATGAGAATATTTCTCAAACTTTCCTGCCTATCAGAATCACCTGGAGTGAATTCTAAGCCATCCAATGCTCAAGATGTATCTCATACCCATTGAGGCCAACTTTCTGGGGGCCCCGGTATCAGCATATTTCTCACATTGATTCCAGTATGTGGCCAAATTTGAGAACCAATTACATATGGGGATAAAAATTGGCAATTACCCTTCTGAGAAATTTGGTTTGCCTAACGGGAGCTGCATGTCTAATCCGCAGCCTTTGTTGATGATCCTTGGAAGAAGCAGACTTCTAATTTTTTTCCTGCATTGTGGTCCTGTCCACCTCTGTTTCCCTCTCCCCTTTCTACATAGAGGCAGAGATTATCGGGACCAAGGGAAAAGCCTATGATTCATAGGATCAATGACAATCAGCTAGTGCGTTGAAGGGTCTCACCTCCCTCCTTGGGATAACGTTCAGTGATGCTTTGGACAAGACTGATGGCATGTGGAAGCTTTTTGAATTATGGAGGATAGGATCCAACCCTCAGTTACCTTATGTAGGAACTCCCCCAGCCTCAGCAAACAGTTCTTCAGTCTGGAGGAGTCAGGGTCACCACCTCCAGCTGGATTTCATGTCTGTTTTCTCCTCTGAAAACCCCAAAGGAGAAATGGGAAGATTGATGGGTTGGCTTCTGGGGAAGGCAAGTACCTCCAGGCAAACAAGTATTCCTGTGCACAGGATGCTCTCCTCATGCTGCATCCTGCGTCCCATCACATGAGCCCTAACTCTGGGAGTGAGTCCTAGTTCTGGAATTGTCCTGGACTGTTACAGGGAATTACAGTAGAAGTAGAAGTGGGCCGCTGGACTTTTCCTTTGTGCACCCTGGCGACTTTCAGATACTTGGTTCATCTGCTATCTGTTTGTATCTCATGCTAGGAAATATGAATGGTAAATATTATAGTCTCTAGGTTATGTGTGTTCATCTCAAAGGCCTCCCGTGTTGGACTAGGATCTGTGACATCCCACGTACCCCTGGTTAGTCTCCATTCCTAGGCATTACATGTGTCACTGCTGAGCCTTCCCTGTGTCTCATTCATGTATCTTTGTTCCCAGGTGTCAGCACTGTCCCTCCTACCCCCAGAGCTACATTGCCAAGCAACCATCTGGACGCCAACTCTTCCCACTATCTCAGCCCTGCTCAGCCCCAGTCTCCCGCAAGGGGCACCGTAGATCTGGGCAGAATACTGGAGCCTGGGTACCTGGGCAGCAGTGGCCAATGGGACATGATGAGACCTCAGAAAGGGAGTGTATCTGGAGACCTGTCCTCAGGCTCTTCTGTGTCCCAGCTTCACTCCAAACCCACAGGTAAAGCACAAAGGAGGCCAGCCTTTGAAATCTCATTCTGAGTCTACTACTTTCCTACTGGGGCAGATTTTTTCATCGTCCTTCCAGTCCCTGGCTCACAGAGTGGGTATAAAAGGAAAGGGCTTGCATGCATGTTGGATCCATTCTAAGTGCATCCTTCATTCTCCCTGTCCCAGGTCTTGGTGCTCTACAAGGACAGGGGAAATCAGGGACTGTCCCCTGCGTTCTTATGTTTGTGTCACTTTTCCCTCTATCCCCTGACCACTCTCAGACTTTTCCAGGATTCTAGGCTCACACATTCACAGGACTGTCTTCCAGCAGTCAGGAGTTGTTATAGAAAGGGAAACAGCTCTTCCATCTCACATCTATGTGCTGCACACAAACCCAGTGATACCAAGTGGACAGGTGGAGCTAGGCAGGTGAATGCTGAGGTACAACTCACTTGCAGCAGAAAGACAATTGTAATTTTTCCAAAAAGACTGAGCCCAAGCAAACTGATGCGGTTGATGGGATGTGTCATTTAGCATCTTCCTGCTTTTCTGTATCCTTGTTCTTTTTTTTAAATTTTTTTATTTTTTGACAGGCAGAGTGGACAGTGAGAGAGGGAGACAGAGAGAAAGGTCTTCCTTTGCTGTTGGTTCACCCTCCAATGGCCGCCGCGGCCGGTGTGCTACGGCCGGCGCACCGCGCTGATCCGCTGGCAGGAGCCAGGTACTTATCCTGGTCTTCCATGGGGTGCAGGGCCCAAGTACTTGGGCCATCCTCCACTGCACTCCCGGGCCACAGCAGAGAGCTGGCCTGGAAGAGGGGCAACCGGGACAGAATCCGGCGCCCCGACTGGGACTAGAACCTGGTGTGCTGGCGCCGCAAGGTATAGGATTAGCCTAGTGAGCTGCGGCGCCGGCCTGTATCCTTGTTCTTTACGAGGGGTGCTCCTTTCTCCTCTGATCTACCTTAGATCCATAGATCCATGTAAGCTGTCCTTTGTTCCTACCTTGTTATAACTGATGTGAGCAAAGCATTCAGTGTCAGCCACGACCCACATTGGATGAGTTGAAGGTCATGTACTTTTACCTTAAGCTTTCCATCTAAGGGTGGGAGGAAGGGCTTTGTCCTTTGCTAAAGAATATTCAGTCATGTATCAGTAAAAAAGATAGTATTAGGAGAAAGATTGAGTGAGGCCTTCCTTTTATCCTCAAAGTCACACCCAGGAGGTGACCACGCCTTTCCAGGTGCTAAATAGACCCTATCCAGAGCCTTTAGTTATTTTTCTAAATTGTGTAGCACTTCCTCTCACATACCACACAACTGTGTGGTAGGAGGCCCATGGGATTTCCTTAGAAATCCCCTTAATTCCTTAGCCCCTTAGGGGGCTATCTGTGTTTGAAAGCTCATTTGCTCTTTGAATAAAATTACCTGCATCCCCTGGGTAGTCAGAGAAGATGCAGTGGTTGGCAGAACAGTGATCTTGTTGAGAGGCTGCTGGCCAAGCCTACCTGGCACCTCCACTAATAACCAGTTCTCTCCATCTCCCACCTTTCTCTGTGTTCTGATGGGATGCTTGCAGGAGCTGACCTGCTGGAAGAGCATCTTGGTGAAATCCGGAACCTGCGCCAGCGCCTGGAGGAGTCCATCTGCATTAATGACCGCTTGCGGGAGCAACTGGAACAACGGCTTAGCTCCACTGCCCGTGGAAGTGGTAGGGGAGGCCCAGGTCTTCTTGGTTTTGGGCTGTATTTAGGGAACTGCTGAAATGATGGGCCTTAGGCAGAGCTTTGCAGTTTTCAGAGCCCTTTGGTATGCTTTCCTTCACTTGCTCTGTACAGACAGCGCAGTGAGAAAGTGGGGCACATACTGTTATGCCTGTTTTGTGGATGTATCTGGGCTCAGAGGGTACCTTTCCTCAAGGCAGAACTAGCCCTGGTCTCCAGATTTGCCTGAGTTCTCACCCCCTCTTTCTCCTGCATTCACATTCCATGCTGATTCTCTGTGCCCTTTTGATGTAATTGGCTGTTTTGTTGTGGCTTTTGAGTTTTTTGGTGTTCTTTATATGTTCTGGATATTAACTTTTTGCTAAATGAATAGCTTGAGAATCTTTTCTATCATCCTGCTGGTTGGTTCTTCACTCTGCAATTATTTCCTTTGCTGTACAGAAGCATCTCAGTTTGATTTAATCCCATTTGTCTAGTTTTGCTTTTGTTGCTTGTGCTTTTGGGATCTTATCCAGAAAACTGCTGCATATAACAAGGTCTTGAAGTGTTTCCCCTGTTTTGTTATACCACTGCGATATTTTCAGATTTTCCATTTAGATCTTTGATCCATTTTGAGTTGATTTTGTAAAAGGTGAGAGATAGGGGTCAAGTTTCAACCATTTGTGCATGGGTATTGAGTTTTCTAAGCATCATTCACTGGAGAGCCTGTCTTTTCTCCAGTGTATGTTTTTGGTGCCTTTTTTGGGGGGGCAGGGGAGGATCAGTTTGCTCTAGATGCATGGATTCATTTCTGGGATCTCTATTCTGTTCTACTGGTCAACATTGTCTTTTTCATGCCAGTGCTATGCTATTTGCATTATTGCAGCTCTGTAGGATCTGGAGATCAGCTATTGTGATACCTCCAGCTTTGTGGGTTTTTTTGTTTGTTCTTTGCTCAAGATTGCTATGTCTACTTGGAGGCTTTTGTGTTTCAACATGAACTTTAAGGTTATTTTTCTAGTTCTTCAAAGAATGTCAATGCTATTTTTTTAAAAGATTTATTTATTTATTTGAAAGGCAGAGTTACACACAGGGAAAAGGAGAGGCAGAGAGAAAGAGAGAGGGAGAGAGAGAGGTCTTCCATTCGTTGGTTCACTCCCAAATTGGTTGCAATGGTCGGAGCTGGGCTGATCCTAAGTCAGGAGCCAGGAGGCTCCTCTGGGTCTTCCACGTGGGTGCAGAGACCCAAGGACTTGGACCATCCTCTGCTGCTTTTCCAGGCCATAGCAGAGAGCTGGATCAGAAGTGGAGCAGCTGGGACTCGAACCGGCACCCATATGGGATGCTGGCACTGCAGGCAGTGGCTTTACCTGCTGTGCCACAGTGCCAGCCCCATGTCAATGGTATTTTGATAGAGATTGAGTTGGATCTGTAAATTGCTTTGGGTAGTGTGGACTTTTTAATAAGATTAATTCTTCTAATCTGTGAACATTGGGACTCTTTCTGGTGTGTGTGTGTGTGTGTTCAATTTCTTTCATTAGTGTTTTGCAATTTTCATATAGGAATCTCACATCTTTGGTTAAATTTATTTTAAGGTATTTCATTATTTTTGTAGCTATTGCTTTTATTTATTTCTCAGTGAGCTTATTATCATTGCTATGTAAAACCACCTCTGAGGTTTGGGTGTTGAATTTGTATCCTGCAACTTTAATGAGTTTTTTTTTGCAGTTCTAATAATCTTTCCTTGTGAAATAATGTCATTTGTAAGCAGGCATAATTTAACTTCCTCTGTTTCTGTATTTCCTCTTCCCTATTGCTCTGGCTAAAACTTCTGCTTCTATGTTGAATAAGAGTGGTAAGCATGGACGTCCTTGTCTGGTCCAGATCTTAGAGGAAATGCTTTCAACTTCTCTCCATTCAATATGGTGTTTTCTGTGTGGGGTTTTCAAGTATAGCCTTTACTGTGTTGAGACATATTCTTCTGTTATCTTAAATGGATGTTGAATATTACCAAATGCTTTTTCTATGTCTATTGAGATAATCATAGGATTTTTACCTTTTATTCTGTTGATGTGATACGTTATCTTTATTGATTTGTGCATGCTGGACTATCCCCACATTCCTGGGATAAATCCTACTTGGTCAGAGTGGATGATCTTTTTGATGTACTATTGGATTCAATTTGCTCATTTTTGTTGTGAAATTTTTACATCTGTGTTCATTAGAGATAGTAGTTTATAGTTTTATTTTTTGTGTGTCCTTGTCTGGTTTTGGGACAATGGCAATGCTGGCTTCATAGAATGTATTTAAAGGGTTTTCACTTTTTGTATTTTTGGAGTAGTTTGAGAAGAACTGCTCTAGTTCTTCCTGAAAAGTTCGTTAGAATTCTCAGTGAAGCCACCTCTGGGCTTTTCTTTGTTGGGACTTTTCAGTCCTAATCCGATCTCATTATTTGTTCTTGGTCTGTTCAGGTTTTCTGTGTCTTTATGGTTCAATATTGGTAAGTTATATGTGTCTATAGACATCCATTTCTTCTAGATTTTCTATTTCTTGGCATTTCATTGTGCACCATAGTCCCCAATGATCATTTGTATTTCTGTGGTGTCAGCTGTAGTATTTACTTTTTCATCTTTGATTTTATTTATTTGGTCTTTCCTTTTTTTTTTTTTAAAATTAGTCTGACTATTTATCAGTTTTATTTATGTCTTCAAAGAACCAGCTCTCCATTTTCTGTGTGATTTACAAGTGGTAGAGACTGGTCCCTGGGACCCTCCCCCTAGCCACTTCACTGCACGACCTTTCCCCTCACACCCTCCACCTGAGCTGCTGCCTGTTGGAGGCCATCCCTTCTGCATCAGTATCCTGTCCATATGACAGCAGCAACTGCTGAAGGAGAAAGAGGCTCCCATGCAAGTGCAGCTGTGGCACGTGATCGTGCATACGTGCCATCCACTGAGAGGAGGCACACAAAACCCAGGCACTTGTTCCATCATGCTTTATTTAGTTCCACGCCCCGGGTTCCCAAGTTTTCTGCTGGGAAGGACAGTACCTTCGGGAGACAGAATGGAAAATTTCTGAAAGCATCTGTTACCCCGGTGTGTGCTTTTTGGGGCAGGATCCACCTCTAACTTCTGCGGTCAAGGCCTGGAATCCATTCCTCAGCTCTACAATGAGAACAAAGTCCTCAGGGAAGAAAACAGGAGCCTTCAGGCCCAGCTGAGCCACATTTCTAGAGGTGAGTGATCAAAAGCCACAAACTATGGTCACTCCTGGGTCCTTTCTTCCCTGGCTAAGCCAGTCACCAGAGAGAGAAGTGAAGAAGAGAAGACTAGATAAAAGAGCTCTCCAGATACCCCTGCCCCAAATTCTCATAGCTATTCTCAGTCTAGAAAGGGCTGAATTCTAAAAGGTTTCTGCCACAGGCCCTTGGATTCTTAGAGTCCAGGGGAAATGACTCTGGAAAACCATCACTTCTGAAAAGCCCCTTTGCATTTACCCTAGTCACTGGCTATCCAGCTGGTATCAGTTTGGCCTCAGTTCTGCCCCCTCCCCACCTCACAGCTGATTTGGAACCAGGAGAGGAAGGAATGTGAGTGCCTGTTTTCCGTCTCAGGGTTCTCTGGACTTCGCTGCAGCCCTTTCCTGCTCTGCCATGCCTATGCCTCCTCTTCGCCTGCCCTCACTCACATACTCAAGGCTCCTCATTGATCAGTACTCCCGTGACCTGTGTTGAGAAGTGTCCGCAAATGTTCTCCCGAGTTTTCCTGAGCCTTTTACATGGGCATCCGTAGGTGGTGTCATTTCCCAAGTGGCTGGGAGGCAGCTGACCTTGGTGTTAATTGACTTGTTAGAGACAATGTATTATCAGTAACATTTTTCTTTATTTACAAATATTTATTGAACACTTATAAAAAGACTAGGAATAGTATCTGAAAGGATTAATCCTAGAATGAAAGAATGATTGTGGAGAGAAAAGACATCAAGGTGTATTTCTGCTTTTTTTTTTTTTTAGAGATTTATTTATTTATTTGAAAGAGTTACAGAGAGAGAGGGACACACACACACACATACATACACAGAAAGAGAGAGAGAGAGAGAGAGAGAGAGAGAGATCTTCCATATATGCTGGTTTACTACCCCAATGGCTATAATGGCCAGGGCTGGGCCAGGTGGAAGCTAGGAGCTAGGAGCTTCATTTGGGTCTGCCACATGGGTGGCAGGGGCCCAAACATTTGGATCATTTTACACTGCTTTTGCCAGACCATTAGGAGGGAGCTGGATCAGAAGTGTAGCAGCTGGGACATGAACTAGTACCCATATCAGATGCCTGTGTCACAGCTTTAGCTACTAGGCCACAATGCCAGCCAAAGAGATATTTCTAAATTAGCCATCTCAGAGCAAGAAGATGTGGACAGAAAGGGTACTTCCTGGGAAAAATAAAAAAGTTAATAGATAAAAGAGAAAGCAGGACTATCATACCGCTATTGTATGCTTGGGAAGATTAGAAAAGGCCTCACAGGTGAGAAGATAGTACCAGATTTTAGTTAGTAGTTTGCCAAGCCCAGGAGAGTTTTTCCCAGAAGAATGCCCAAACTTACAGCCTTACTTTCAGAGTCTCTGCCGATAATCTTCATGAATTTATGATCAGAGATGCTACAAGCCCAGAAAAGTACAAATATCCCAGTATTTAATGAAATATTCTAAAACCCATAGGGAAGAAATACTGATGTTGATCTTTGGCAAAATTGAAGAATAGATTATTGAACAGATGGTATGCAGGTGCTTGGAAAGTAGTGAACACTGGAGACCAGAATGCTTTAAGAACAAGGGAGGCCATAGTAAGTCACGGATCAAGGGCATTGCAAGCTAGATTGCACCTGCCCCCATATGTGGTGTGGTCAGCCAACACTCTCTTTGCCCAGCCCCACGGGGCCTTCCTTCTCCTTGTCTTGGTTCACTTGTTTGTGCTTGGGTTTATCTTCCTGTTGAGCTGTCTCCCCAGGATATAAACACGTGTTGTTCTGCCCACCAGAGCACTCTCAGGAAACAGAATGCCTGAAGGAGGCTCTGCTCTCCTCCCGATCCCAACTTCAAGAGCTGGAAAAGGAGCTGGAACACCAGAAACTGGAGAGGCAGCAGCTGTTGGGAGACTTGCGGGAGAAGCAACAGGAGATCTTGCACTTCAGGGAGGAACGTCTGTCCCTCCAGGAAAACGACTCCAGGCAAGAGGGGGCCCACCCACCGGGGAGGGTGGCCGCATTTTCCGATTTAGAAGGAGGGAGGTGGGTCTGCTTCTGGAAACTTCCCTTTCTCCTTGGCTCTCCCTGCCTTTGAGCGGAAGGAAGGACTTCTCTGAGAAAGCTTTTTCGCCAGAGTGGAGAGAGTGAGACCCTGGTAAGAGGAGGCTTTCACACATCAGAGACCAGAGAAAGAACACCCCCCTGCTTCCAGGTGGATGTAGGACACTGGTCTCGCCACAGCTGAGAAGCTTCCAATCCAGCACAGGCGTGGGTGCTGTTTGTCTCCTCCCCACGTCCTGCAAGCGCTTGTCACAGGAAGGCACCGTAGGAGCAGTAAGAGGACTGTGCGGGTCTGTCCGTTCTCCTCCCAGCCGGTGATGCTAATGGCGTGACTTCCAGCAAAATCACTTCACTCTCCTAGTGTCTGTTTCCACGTCTGCAAGATGAAAGTGATGGTCTTCGTGATCCCTGAGCTGACACTGGGGGCCTACCAAGGTCGACTCCCAGTATGTTGCCCTGGCAAGGCTGGGTGGCCACAGCATCTCAGTGACCCTTGCCCCTTCCCCGCAGGCTGCAGCACAAGCTGGCCCTCCTGCAGCAGCAGTGTGAAGAGAAACAGCAGCTCTTTCAGACCCTCCAGTCCGAGCTACAGATCTATGAAGCACTTTATGGCAATTCTAAGAGGGGGCTAAAAGGTATGTGTTCCCCATCCCCCTTTCCTCCAAAGCCAAAGGGTGAGATGTTGGTGGCATGAGAAATGTCTGTCCTGGACATCCTTAAAAATGGGCTGCAGGAGTCAAACTTTACCCACTTATATGGCCTGAAACAAGTTGAGCAATATCTAGGTTATACCTTTTATTTTTTTTCAATGCAAAGAGCTGTCCTACTTTGCCATTGTTTAAAAAGATCTTGAATATTGTGAATCACACACATTGACAATCCAGAAACAAGAACAAAAGACAAAAAAAAAAAACCCTTCAGAAAATATCACTAATAGGACTTAAATTTCAAGTTTAGATTAAATGTTAAGTGCTTTTATTGAAGATTTTTGCCACCTGCTGAAATAATGATCTAGTATTTGAGAATCCTGATTTGTTTGCCATTCTTCAAGTGGAGAAATGTATTTGAAACGTCAGTGTTAATAAATCACAGCAGGCTGGAACAGAGGGGCTGACATCGAAGTGGTGAAATTTAGCAAAGATGAAAAAGCAAAATCCTGAGCTTGAAAAAAGTTTCTGTGATCAGATCATAGAACTGGGAGGCCTGGCCCTGTAGCCATTCATGGGGAGAGGGAATCACCTACAAACCTGCGCGCACAGGGAAACTCTTCATCAAGTGTTGGTGACTCAATTTGAGTCTTCAGGAGTGTAAATGTGGTGTCCACATGGTGGGGCCGGGTCTGAAATATTCTTAGACTGTGCAGCCCATCTTGTAAAAGGGATGCTGGCACACTGGAATGTCATGACATCAGGGGCTGTGATGGTGTGGGTCCAGACATCCTGAATTGGTTGAAGTAAGGAAAAGGCCTCAGGTCTTGAAAAGAACATGAGGAGATAAGAACTGGCTTCACATGTTTGAGGAACCATCAGATGAAGGAGAGCCGATGTGCTTTGTGACCCTCCAGAGGGCCAGACAGTGGGTGAAGGGCAGTGGAGTGCTGGTTAGAATTTTCTCTCTTCAGCTGACTTTTAATCTTCATAAAACTTAATTTGCTTTCCTAATTTGTTTAAGAGAAGTTACACTAAAACTTAAATGTAGGGGATTCAGCAGGCTGAGAGACAAGTTGAACTACAAAGTCGTGGTGAGTGCTGGGTCAGTGGGGAGGCCAACATACCCGTAGGAAGCAGGGCTGGGGGAGTGGGAAGTCAGGTATTGTAGCAAGCACGTAAGTCAGGATAATAGTGCACATATTAAGTACTAGACAAGAACAGTAAGTGTTTTTAAAGAAAAATACATGTGTGATGAAACGGAGCTCTCAGGTACCAAGTCCAGTGGAACTTGCTGGTATGGGGAGACATTAGAATATTGGGAGCCTATTGGATGGGCCTACTGATATTCTGAGCATTAAGAGAGAAGCATCTAATGTAAGGTACTTAGAGGATAAAAGTGAATAATAGAGGAAACATGCTTCTAAAAAGAAATAAGCAAAATTTAGTGCGAATTTGAGTTTAGGGAAGGAAGGACCAAGAGGAACATTGTGGGACGCTGGGGTTGTTCTCTGAAACAACTTCATCCTGAACCACCTCCCCATCCATGATGTCCCCTGTTTAGCGGTGTTTTAGGGTTCAGTTCAAAGCACCTAACACTAAATCTCCATAATCTCTTCTTTTTAATTCTAAAATCCAGTTAAGATCTCTGAATTGAAAGGTTAAATGACAAAACCTAACTGAAGTGGCAAGAGGATGTTCATAGTCTTTATTAATGCAATGAGAATATTTGCATTGCTCACTACAGAAATGAGCATGTATGTGGCTAAGGGTGTGGCTCAGATGCAATTGGGTGCACATAGTATATGGTATATGGTATATATGATATATGCTTCCCATTGCTTTGCTGAATATCAAAGCAATTCTACCTTTTTGAAATGCATTTGTTGAGCTTTAAGGTTTTTCACATGTGAGACTGTGGCCTTGGAGAGTATTGCAAGTATTGCTTAGGTTTCTACGCCAGTATGTAGAAGTACATGTGGTGAGTGAAGGAAAAACATAGAAGAGTTGAAAATTCGTTTAGTTCGGGTCGTTGCTCTAAGAGCCAGACTCTGATTCTTCCATGCTACCCAAAGTCCGTACTTCTCCTCTTTGATTTCTGAGTGTGAGGTCATCAAGTCCCTGTCTCCCTCAGGCTCTACCCATCTCCTGCCTTGGAGGGCCCTGCTCTCTAGCCTGCAGGATGCAGGTTAATATGGAGATGAAGTAATAGGCTTGTTTTTGTCTGCAAATTTAATGCTTTCTAAATGCCGGTGGGTAATTTGAACCTCAGGGAAATTTCAGACTGGATACGTGCCATCTCAGTGTGCCCCAGCCTCACACTGAAGTGCTGACATCTCTATAATATGTTGGTCTGTGCAGTTCCTCGGACCCCGAGATAGTGATGGAGTCCTTAATGGAAAGGACTCTGACAGAGCAGTGTTCTGACAAGTGCTTGGACATTCTTAACTCAGTGCTACCAGACCCTTCCTGTCTCTCTCCTTGCAGCTTTTGGCCTGGATACCTGTCACCAAGTCCCTTCGAGCAGTGACTTGAGTTGCCTGGTGGCAGAGATACGAGCTCTGAGAGGGCAGCTGGAGCAGAGCATCCAGGTGAACAATTGTCTGCGACTGCAGCTGGAGCTGCAGTTGGACAGTGGTGTCGGCAAAGCCAGCCTCGGCTCCTCTTCCATGAACCAGAACTTCACCACCAACACTGACCCTGGAAACAAGCAGTCTGCCTTCCAAGGTAGGACTGAAAAAGGGTCCCTTCAGCCAGTGGGAGCTCACCAGGACATCTGCAGGGAGAGGGCAGTCTTGACCCTCTGATGCCTCTTAGGATAAGCTTGAAATCAGAAATGATTGGGGTTGCTGTGGCCAGTGAGTGAAGTCACCACCTGCAGCTCCAGCATCCCGCATGGACACAGTTCAAGTTCTGGATGCTCTACTTATGCTCCAGTTAGCTTTCTGATAATGTACCTGGGAAAGCAGCAGAGAATGGCCCAAGCATAACCACATGGGTAACCTAAATGAAACTCCTGACTTCAGCCTTGCCCAGCCCTGGCTGTTGTGTTCATTTTGGGGAGTGGACAAAGTGGATGGAAGATTCTTTCCCTCTCTCTGTGTGTCTCTCCCCCTCTCTCCCTCTATAATTTTACCTTTCAAGTAAATAAATCTTAAAAAAAAAAAGAAAAGAAATCAGAGATGACAGCATCCAAGAGAGAATACTGGATTTAGGTTATACCTTGCTGCAGATTCTCAGTTTCTATGCACAGATTGTTTACTCTGGGTGGGGACTTTGAACTCTCAGGTATTCAAGCTGCAGCCTCATTAGTAAGATGGGGAGAGTAATAATATGTATTTTCTATAGCTATTTGGGGCATTAAATGACATACTTGACAAGGGCCTGCTACAATAAGAATTGCTCAATACTTAACTATATACATTAATTTCTCAATAATTAACAACTATATGCATTAATATCTATTCCTTGTACTGTATTTGTGAAGTACTTTAAAATTTGCCAAGCATCTTTAAATATATGAGGAGTCTTCAAAATTTCAAGAAAAAATGTATATTATAAAAAACTATGATGGATTTCAAAATTCTTTGCACCAAAATGAACATACCTTTTATTTTTATTCATTTTTTAAAATCTTATTTTATATTTTAGACACAGAGAGGCAGGGAGAGAGATAGATAGAGAAGGCTCCCACCTTGTAGCTTACTCCTCAGATGGCCCCAACAGCTGGTACTGAGTCAGGGCTGAAGTCGTGAATCCAGATATTCCATGTGGATGGCAGGAACCCAACGACTTGAGGCATCAGTGCTGTATTAGCAGGGAGCTGGAGTGAGGAGCCAGAGGCAGGAATCACACTCAGGCACTCTGACATGGAATGTGGGTGCCTTAACCACTAAGCTAACCGCTTGTACCTAAAGTTGTCTTTTAATTTCATTTTCCCACATACTTTCTGAAGTATCCTCATATACTTTTATCTGGCGTAGGGAAGGTTTCACTATCCATGTATTTCACATAAGACGCTTAGGCCTTGGGACATTAGCAGACAAGTAGGGGTTCACAGGCATTAGAGACACGTAGGATTAGGACCAGGTGTTTTGACTTCCTGTCCGTGTTTCTTCTGCCTCCACATGCTCCATCTCAGCATCCCGACTTCTCCTGTTTAGACTAGTCTCTATTTCATATGTGGAGAATTCAATGTCTGACAAAATGCTCCTGTCCTTAAGGAAACCAAGGCTATGAGGAAGCACTGGGCTGTGGACATGTTTATTCCCGGGGACAGAAGTCCTCTTCTGCCTTGCCCCTTTGTATGCCTTTCCAGATAGGCAAGTTAACCAGGTCTCTCCTTCTCTTTTCAACATCTAGCCTCAATCTCATTTACCCCAGCTTCAATACTAATGTTAATCGTGTCCCTTTCCCCAGTCTTTTGACTTTCAACCTCTACTTCCCCTTCTCTCTTTCCTTTGGGTGTCCCATGCAATTCAGCACCTCCACTCATCTGCATGGCTGTGTCCTCAACAGGATCCTAATCAAGAATCACTTCTGCTCCTGTTTCTCCAAAGCTGAGCTTGCAGACTCTCATGCCTACTCTCCCTGGGCCAAGGGAGTCCTGATTTTCTCTGGTTTGTTGGATACTCATTTATCACACAATGACCTCATCTGACAAATGAAAATGACAATCATATGACCCATGATGGTCATTAAGACGTGTACCTGGGCTGTCCAGCACAGCACCTGTCCACAGGAACTTCTCAGTGTGCATTGGGTGGCTACGTTGCTCTCCTGGGGCTGCCATGATGGTCACAGTGTCTTCTTCTCATTTAACCAGGCTTTTCCTTCTCATTGGCTTCCCATACACCTGCCATGACACAGGCTCCAAGGCCCAGTCCCTGCTCCTCCTCAGAAAGCAGCCTCTGAGCCACTCTGGCCTGAGCAGGTCCTTTCTGTCCTCTTTCTGATGGTTTCCAGTTTCCTCATGGTAGGGATGCTTCCTGGTCTCTACTAGGGCATCTTTAGCCCAATGAGCCTTCTTCACTTCTCATACAACTCAGTGTTTCCCTCACAGTGACTCACCAGAATTTGACTAGGCTGTTGGGTTTAATTCCCCATAAATCCATTCATTCTTTGATCCACAATTTAACATAGATACAATGTATTGTATGAGATACTACATATAAAATTGTACTAAAGAATTGGTTTATAAAATATACCTAACAGTTTTTCAAACTAGAAATTGCTTTCTCATGGAACACCCTCCCATTATCCAAGTTTTCTTATGTTCTCTGAGAATGGAAACACTGGGCTGAGTGATTTGTTGATTCTTGACTTTGACTTGGCATCCGAACGATAATTATATGAGAGGTCTCAGGTCTCAGTTGTGCTATGTGAGCTCTCAGGTGGTGAGGAGGAGGCTGTGCAGGGTGTGTCTGGGTTCCTGAAAACCCTGGTTGTCTTTGCTCCCTAGACTCAGCTGCTTCCCCTCCAGTTCGGGACGTTGGCATGAATGCTCCAGCTCTGGTCTTCCCCAGCTCTCCTTCCTCTGATCCTGCCTCAGAAACTGCCATTTTCAACAAGAAAAATGGTAAGTGTGGCAAGTAAGGGGCTCAGGGATGATGATGGGAAAATGTTGATGCAAAAAGCACTGGTTGTCTATTTAGAGGTTATCTCAACTTACAAATTTCTCTCTGTGTGTCCCAAGGCCATTAGTCCTACTTATTGCACATTTTGTGCCATGTTTTTGGTCATTATTTTTCATCCTACAGTTCTCCTGCTGCTCTTAGTAGCATCATTGGGTGGTAATATTTCCATTTTTATAAATGAGAGAGATCTGCCATCCACTGGTTCACTTGCCAAATCCTGGAGCATCTGGGGTTGGGTCAGATTGAAGCCTGGAGCCACGAACCCAATCTGAGACTTCTATGTGGGTGGTAGGGACCCAAGTCCTTGAACCATCATCTGCTGCATCTCAGAGTATGTGTTACTAGGAATGTGAGACTTGAACCAAGCCGCTCTGATTGGGATGCAGGCATATGACAAGTGGCATCTGAACCTCTGTGCCCAACGTCCACCCATACTTTTGAAGATTGCCTTTCTTGTTCCTGGCCTTTTTCACTGTATTTTGCATCCAAGTGAGGAAGTTATTGTGAATAATCACAGCGGATGCTGTCTTCTTGTGTTTCGTTTTCAGAGCTGAATTCGTGTACTTCTCTCATGAAGAACCCTCCCCAGCTGGAGGGTGATGCCACTGACGGCTCTTTTGCCAATAAGCACGGCCGCCATGTTATTGGCCACATTGATGACTACAGTGCCCTAAGGCAGCAGATTGAGGAGGGCAAACTGCTGGTCACAAAGATAACATCTCTTCTGAGGCCAGCATGTGACCTCCCTGGCCTTGAAGCTCAGGGCACAGAGGTAATCACACCGTGCCTCTTAGGTGCACTCTTTCCATTTGTGCCTTCTTCTCCTGTCTTTAGCTCCTTTCCACTGTTTTCTATTCTCTCCTGCTCTCACTGAGCAGCTGAAGAAGCATGTTCCATTTACACCCTGTCACCTCTGCCTCCTATTTTCACCCCAAGTTCTGCTGTGTTGCAGGTGGGGTTGACTCAGTAACTTCCCTCCGAACCACAGAAAAGCCTGTACAGCAGCAGCAGCAGCAGCAGCAGCAGCAGCAGGACATGTGTTAGGTGTGATTATACAGAGCACTCTTTGGGAGCTTATTATCTGCTCCAGACCTGTTGGCCCATGGCCCTCTGGGCAGGATGGAGTCTATCAGATGGACAGAGATGTTGAGGGATTCACAGCCCTATGGGCCACGTGTGTAGAAGGGGTGAGAGCCTGGCAGCTAAGGGTTTCCTTGCTCGCAGTGAGCAGGGGAGGGAGAGCACTCAGCAGAGTCTCAGTGCGCTTCACCTTGCGAGGAGTGCAGGTTCCTGTGGCTGTGCTGTCTGAGCCACTGGAGGAGACCTGTGGGTGTGCAGGGATGGCCCTGCCTCCAGGGGCCCCTCTCTAGAGGACAAGCCACACTGCCCAGTACATAGGCACGAGAAGGGGTGACAGGCAGTGTGAGACGTCATCCTCTGTGCTGTGCAGATGCACCCAGCAAGGAAGGGAACAGGAACCAGAGGACATATTCAGAGGGATATGGGAACTCCAGGTAAAAGGGGCAGCACATCAGTCCTGAGAGCTGCGAGTAGTTGAACAGGATTTTGCAGGTTCAAACGGGACTCTGCTCTGTGGCTCAGTCACAAGGAAGCTTGAGCCCTGTGCTCGCAGGGGAAACTGAACTGATAACTCGGCTGCCCCCTTCCCCAGGTGCTGGACTGCAAAGGCCTCCAGAAGCTCCGGAGCAGTGCCAGTGCCCTGCACCACACCCTGGAGGAGGCGGCCTCCCTCCTCTCCATGTTCTGGCGGGCAGCCTTGCCAAGTTCCCCCAGCCCTGTGCTGCCAGGCAAAGCGGTAAGAGGCCATTACTTCCCTGTACTGGCTCCACCCAGCTCCTCTGCCCCATCACCGATCCGTCCCCGGGGGCCTCAGGAGCTGCGTGGTGAGTTGGGGTGGACAGGACCTTAGGGGAGCGTCCCTGTTGGGAGACCTCTGGCCCATCCAACTGCTTTCATTTCCCTCTACCCCAACCTCTGGCCCTGGGAGAAGAAGCCAAAGAGCAGAAGGAAAGGATACTGAGTGGCGCTGTGACATTGGCCACCCATCCATCAGTGTGCAGGCTCTGTAACTCTGAACTTCGGCTGAGCTCCGACAGTCAGGGTTGTGTCAAAGCTTCAGCACTCCTCTCCCACCCCTCAGGTCCACGTAGTCAAGGTGATCACAGACTGTGAGCTTCTTTTGGCCACTCTTTAGGTTATTTGTGCTGCTGTAATGGAATATCAAAGACTTCATGCTGCGTGAACATTGGTGTTTATTTGACTCATGGTTCTGCAGGCTGGGAAGCCAAGTTCAGGCCTTCCTTCTGCTTCATAACCTGGTGTGCAGCAGCACACAGCCAGAGAACACGTGACAGAGGGCACGGGGAGGCTGAGTGAGCTTTGATACACACCCACCTTGCCCTAACACCATTCAGTGGGATGAGCCCACCTAACCTAAACTATTAGTCCCACCTCTCCAACAAGGCACTGAGGATTCAATTTCCAGTACATGAACTTTGGGAGGATGCGTTAAGACCAGAGCAGCTTCACCCTGTGGAATCTCAATTTTTCATTTAAGTTTGTATCTCTGAGCCAGGGGTGAGGAAAGGCAGCTACCTCTCGAGATCTCTTCTGATCTCAGGCTGACCCTGATTGGCTGACCCTTGGGCAAACGGGTCACAGGATACCCTCCCCATAGATTCCAGCCTGAGATCAATGTTGTTGATACCTTTTGGGATCCACTGGATTAATTCCAGGGAGTGGGTATTTTGCAATATTCATCCTGCATAAATATTTATAAGCTTGCAAATTAGCCATTCTCTCTCTCCCGACCTTGTAGCCTGAGAAGGGGGAGAGAGAACTGGGATCAGGAGGAAATTCAGGTCTTGTTCCCGGATGGGAGATTCATACTGGCCTGGACCGTGTTCTCTTCCACAGCGCAGGTGCAGGCCTGGGCTGCTCTGCCTGGGGGCTTCCAGACTTCCAGCCTTCCTCCCAAGGGTTTGAGAGCCCTTAGAGGAGGGAATGTGGTTGGAGAGTGCTGGGAAGTTTGTGGAATCCTCCCCGGCACGGTGAAGAGGCACAGTGCACAGGCACTTTGTGCCTGCTGGCTGCTCACTGCGAGCCCGTCCCTCTTCCCAGGGGGAGTCAGTGGAAAGGGAGCTTGTGGAGCTGCGAGCCAGAGTCTCGGAGCAGCAGCGGCTCCTCCAGGGCACAGCGGAGCGTCTGAGGACTGCCAACCAGCAGAGGGAGAGCATGGAGCAGTTCATCGTCAGCCAGCGTAGGTGCCCCTGTGCTGGGAACGGGAGAGGGAAGGGGGTGCGCCTCCGAGGCCCCACTAGTGCTGCAGATGAGCAGTGAGCAGAGAGGCACGGGGACATCGGGAGAGGAAGCCTGATGTGGTGTCCCTGACCCTCCTGCGCCAGCAGTGACCGGGGGCAGAGGGAAGGGAGGATGGGCGGGAGATCCTGAGCTGAGTGGTCAGGAGGCAATGCTTATTGGAAGGGCCACGCCACGCAGGTAGAGTCCATCTGGTAATTTCTGCTCTGGGCGCTGTTTCTGTTTCAGTGACCAGGACACATGATGTTTTGAAGAAGGCGAAGACTAATTTGGAGGTAAGGAGAGTACTGCACCAGTCTGAGCCACAGAGCCCGTCCCCACCCCATCACCATCTGCCATCCGATTCTGTAGGTGACCCTGACCTTATCTGACCTTCCAGGAGAAGGTTTTTGGTCCCCTTGCAGAGTCACAGGGACACCATGAGCATCTTTGTGATTTACATCCCCATCACTGCCCACTCCCCTCTTCTGTGTTCACGCTCACGTTGTCAGCGTCTCTTCTTTACGTTCCATTGGTCCCTCCATTCTGCCATGGGAGGAGTCTGGAGAAAAGCCTGGTAATGGACTCTGGAGGCCAGAAGACACTCAAGGGGCTGCCTCTGAGCCAGCTTTCTGGGAGGGCGTCTTGAGGCCGTGATGTGTTCTGGTGTTTCCTCTACTGCTTTATGAAAAAATAAAGCAAGGTGCAGCCTCAGCAACTGGTCTCACTGCACACAAATTGGGAGAGGAATAGAAATTTCACTTGCATGTTTTTCTTTAAGGAACATCACAAGAGTGTTTTCCTTGGGGCTCACTGGTCTAAAGAGCATATTCCTAGGAATGTTCAGAAGTGTAACTGAGAGTGTTGATTCCCGTAGTGTGGTTAGTGATGGGAGCTTGGATTAAACTTGCTCTACATTTTTTTTCTGATTCCCTTCTGTTTTTCTCATAATTCCTTTCTTTCCTGAGCCTCTTTAGCACAGCACTCACAAGATTGCCTCTGTAAAGCCTTACTCCTGTCCCAGCAAAGGTAACCCGCCAGCCTCAAGTCCCCGCCGGCTTCCTCCAGCACGGAAGCTTCCTCTCTGGTTGACTTGGGTGCTTGTAGAGGGCCTGAGGCCTAGGTTCCCACCCTAGGCTTGTCACTAACTGGTTGCGTGGCTTCGGCAGGCCCCTTAGTCTCAGTGAGACCGCTGACTCTCCATCTGTAGAAGGTGGAACTAGACTTAGATGATTTCTGAGGTCCTTGCTGTCCTGGCCCCTCAGTAAGGTAACTGGGAGCCAAGCTCAACAGGGACTTCCCTGCAAAATGCCCTCCCCTTCCTGCAACAGCTGTTTTTCCATGTGCATGAGTCATGCTAAGCACCTGTCTTTCGGGAGATGGCAAAAGCTGTCATTGTGTGCCCAGGAGGCTTGGAGAGTGATGGGCCCCTGCGGAGAGCGTGGTAGGATCTGGCTGAGCAGTGAGCAGCGGCTTTGGGCAGGGACCTCGGCACAGAGAAGCTTTGCCTCTAACCTGGGGGCACCTGTTGCTTCTCCAAACCACATCGCATCCCCTCTGTGCTTCCTTTTAACTGGCTGCCACCACGTTCCTGGATTTTATCTCCACCTAGCTCTCACTGCTGCCCCCAGGGAGCCATCAGCAGCCCCTGACAATCCACACTGACTCGATTGGTTTCTGTCTGTCTACAGGTGAAATCCCAAAGGGCACTCTCGTGTACTCCAGGCTTGTGACACTTGCCTTCCAGGAGCCTTGCAGGAAGCGCAGCCAAAAGAGATCTCTGCAACACCAAGGAGCATGGGCCTGCCGCCTGTAGCACGGCTACCCACTCGCTGGAGAGGACCTGAGCCCGTTCCTCCAGACCTGCTGCAGGTCCAGAAGAAGGGGTCAGAGAGGTGTCGTGGTGGGGCAGGGAGAAAGGCAGGATGCCTGGCTGGCAGTGAAGGAACACCACTAGCCAAGCACCGCCAGGCCCAACACTAAGCAAAACCTGCATAGTCTGCATAGAGGACCTTGTGACACTGCTTCTAAGCAGCCCTAGTGGCACGCGACTGGCCACAGCATGATTCTCACCTAAGCAGCTGTCCCTAGTTGACTGACTCAAGGCAAATAGGACCCTGCCGCCTACACATGGGACATGTGGTCCCCACGCTGGAGCTGCTCAGGCAGTTCTAGAAGCACACTACTGAGACTACTGAGTAGCAGCGCCCTACTGGACAGTGTCAGGGGCTCGGCGACCTCGACTCACAGAGCCACGCCTGCTCAGCCCGGTCGGATGGAGACAGACACTCTGCGGTCTACAGTGTTGCACCTGAGCACTTTGAGTCCACGTGGTGAACGTGGGCACTTCACGGATGCCATCTCATGCCTGACCTTGCTGCTCCTGTTTGTTTTCATCTATGACCTCCCTCGAAATATGCTGTTCCATTTTTTTCACCCTAAATCCATCCGGGTGATTTGGGCACTGATGGCCACACCTCGTCTATTAAAAGTCTTGGTACAACAAGCTGTAGTCATTTTTGAGTGGCCTGGGAGAGGGCTCCAGTTGTGCTAAAGTCTAGCCTGTGTCTTCACAGTGCACATGGATGGTGTGTCCATGTGTACACATGTATGGTACAGACGTATATATGCGCTAAAGCCATAGTGAAGGGCAACATACCTCGTGGACAGGCTTGGCAAGAGGAAATGAAAGTCTTTTTGGTAGCTATTAAAGACAACATGTATAAAGTAAAGAGTTTTTCTCGCCTGCTTTGTTTCCCATTTGGGCACAAGTCCCAGAATCGAGTGTATGGGAATTGGAAAGACAAAGTACTATTAAGAAGCTTATAGCCCAATGCTTAAGGTCTAAGTTTAAAAAACAAAGTTTTTTACTCTGTCGTTTTCTAGGAACCCCCAATCTGAAAGTGTAACAGAGTGGGTCTTACACTTGGTGTGCTGGTGTCAGCTGTGGATGTGGGGGCAAGTACTTCCTGTAATCCAATCCCAAGAGCTTTAGTTGGTATTTAGTTAGTGAGGCCCTAGAGTCTGCATTTTTAAAAATTTATTTGGCAGATAGAGTTAGACAGCGTGAGAGAGAGACAGAGAGAAAGGTCTTCCTTCCATTGATTCACTCCCCAAATGGCTGCCACGGCCAGAGCTATGCCGATCCGAAGCCAGGACCCAGATGCCTCCTCCTGTTCTCCCATGCGGGTGCAGGGGCCCAAGCACTTGGGTCATCCTCCACTGCCCTCCCAGGCCACAGCAGAGAGCTAGACTGCAAGAGGAGCAACCGGGACTAGAACTGGGGCCCATATGGGATGGTGGCGCCACAGGTGGAGTATTTAACCAAGTGAGCCATGGCGCCGGCCCCTGGAGTCTGCATTTTTATACAAAAGCACCCCTGGTGATGCTGATGCAAGTGGACTGCAGACCACATCTTAAAAGTATTGGCCCAAAACATTGAATCAAAACTACAAATGAATTTGTTTTGCTGTGATTAAGAGCCTTTAATTGAAAAATACACCAGTCATTCCATAAATATTGAAATAAGATCTTAAACTACTTATTGGGAGAAGTTCTTGATTATATCCTTTCGCCTTCCAGAATTGAAATGAGGTTAATAATAAATTGTTTCCTATCAACACTTAAAAACATAAACTAGAACAAAAAACTATCAACAGAACCACTACCGCCAATACAAGACCCTTCCGCAGGCTCTTGCCTAGGTGGGAACATACTGTACTCTAATTATTAGAGTGGCATCAGCTTTTACAGTGTTTAAATGAGTGTTTGTCAAAAACAAACTCACTGGCAAGATCAGTGGAATAGATGAGAAGTCAGGACACTATTAAACATTATTTAAGGACTAGTAGTGAAATGTGAATGCCTCTTGCCCATGGTTATTGAAGCATCCTAGCAATTCTCCTTCCTTCAATTCCTGTGCTGCCAGGGCTTGTTTGGCTTAGATAACATCATCAGCAATCAATGGACAATTCAAATATTGATTCAGGAGGAAAAAACTTAATAACTAAAAGCAAGCTGAAAGACTGAAACCTAGCCATCCCAACAATCGTATTAAATACACCCCAGTTAAAAGGCAGAGATAGCTAGAGTGGATAAAAAGAAAACCTAAATTTTTTTCTTAAGGATTTATTTACTTATTTGAAAGTCAGAGATGGAGAGAGAGAGAGAGAGAGAGAGAGAGATGAGATGGAGATTTTTCTATTTGCTGGTCCACTCCCCAGATGTCTGCAATGGCCAGGGCTGGGCAAAGGTGAAGCCTGGAGCTTCATCCAGGTTCCCACTAGAGTAGCAGGGGCTCAGGAACTTGGGCTAGCCTCCATTGCTTTGCCCATGCCACTAGCAGGGAGCTGGATCAGAATTGGAGCATCTGGGAGTTGAACTGGCGCCCATATGTGATGCTGGCACTGCAGTTGGAGGCTTAACCTACTACGCCTTGGGGCCAGCAGTGTGGTGTAGTAGGCAAAGCCACTGCCTGCAGTGCAGGAATCCCATAAGGATGCTGGCTTGAGTCCTGGCTGCTCCACTTCCGATCCAGCTCTCTTCTATGGCCTGGGAAAGCAGTAGAAGATGGCCCAAGTGCTTGGGCCCCTGCACCCACGTGGGAGACCCGGTAAAAGCTCCTGGCTCCTGGCTCTGGATCCAGTTCCAGCCATTGTGGCCAACTGGGGTGCGAACCACCGGATGGAAGATCTCTCTCTCTCTCTCTGCCTCTCTGTAACTCTTCCTTTCAAATAAATAAATAAAAATATAAAAAAACCTTGTGCCACAGCACCAGCCCCCCATAAGGGAGTGTTATGAACAACTATGTACAAGTTGTACATCTCTCATGCAAAATCTCACAGTCAGAAATGCTCATGCTCACTGCAGGAAAAGTGGGATAGATGATGACTGCAAGATCTTGTTATTGTTGACAACTATTTGGCTCATCTTCCAGCTGAAATTCTCATTAAAAATGATGCTTATGCCAGCACCTATGTGACTCATTAATTAAGCCATGTGACAAGGTTATCCTCAGATCAATGAAGAATAGTTATAAAAACACCTTTAGAACAGCATGCACGCAGCAGTAGCAGAAACACAGGTGTGGGAAAATCTCAAAAGTGGTTTAGCATGAAAGCTATTTCATATACTTTTTACTGTTGTCAACACTTGAAGGACATAACTGGGTATGAATGGCACAACCTCTGGCCTGTGAGTATGTTCAGTGATGATAAGGAATAAGGTGGTGAATTCGAAAGCTCCCATACATCCAGCAAGAAAAAAGTGATGTCCTACATCTTTATATGTGAAAAAAAAAAATACCTTCATGATCCATCAAAGAGCTGGAAGAAGCGGGTATTGATGTTTTACCATAGATGATGAAGCTCTTGTTGTTTACTCGTGACTGATGACAAAATCACTGATGTAGTTGGGAGTCGAGGAGATTGAAGTAACAGTAATGATGAAGATGACCTTGCTAACACTGCAGTGAAGTGCCTGCTGAGGACAAGGTGAGAAGGTGTGATGGGCTTGCTGAAGTACAGACAGCAGGTGTTCAGAAAGGAAGTGAATGTGTCAGTGTCTAAACTCAGAGAGAGGCTTTGATAAATACCATTGCAACAGGTAGACGGCTCTGTAGGAAGGATCAGGGTGCCTCCTCATCCCTAGATGAACCGCTTCCCAGCCTTTCAATCACTTTGGTGATTATAACCACCTGGAACAGTAACCTCCGAATGCAAACCCAGCGTCAGAGGTGGGGGCTGCAAGCCTGCACGGTGGCTGTTGCAGTTGTTTAGCGACTGACGTGAATATTCTGCTGCTGCTGCTGTGCTGTGTGATGACCCTGAACACAGGAGATTGTTACTGCTTGAATGGTGTGTTGTATTTTTTACAACGTGTGAATGACCGTAAGAAAATGATTACTTCTTAGTAGGACACCAATTCAGAGTCAAGAGTGATGGTGATGCCACACAGTCACAAGCGGTCCACACAGGTGCTGAGTTAGAAGCATCTTCACTTTCTGATGGGTCAGTGTGCACAAATGTAGTTTCATGTACAGACATTTAGAATATTGTTTATAGGGGCTGGAGGTCTGGCATAGCGGGTAAAGCCGCTGCCCACAGCACCAGCATCCCATATGGGCACTGGTTTGAGTCCCGGCTGTTCCATTCTGATCCAGCTCTCTGCTGTGGCCTGGGAAAGCAGTAGAAGATGGCCCAAGTCCTTGGGCCCCTGCACCCAGGAAGAATCTCCTGGCTCCTGACTTTGGACTAATGCAGCTCCGGCCATTGAGGCCAACTGGGGAGTGAACCAGCGGAAGAAGACCTCTCTCTCTCTTTCTCTCTGCCTCTCCTTCTCTCTCTGTATAACCTTGCCTTCCAAATAAATAAATAAATAAATCTTTTTTTAAAAAAGAATATTGTTTATAATTCCTTTCAGGCAATGGTAAAAATGAATTTTTGGTTAAGCTTGGGTCCCGACCCCAAACTACCTAATTATGTATATGAGGACATTCAAAAATCTGCAAAATTCCAAAACAGTTCTGGTCTCAAGCATTTTGGTAAGGAAAACTCATCCTATACCAAGAAATTTGATAACCTAGAAGAAATGGATCAATTCCTAGAAATAGGCAAGCTATCAAGATTGAATTAAGAAGAAATAGAAAGCCTGAACAGACCATTGAGAAGTGAAGATATTAAAGTAGTAATTAAAGACCTACAATGGAGACATACTCAGGATCAGCTGGTTTCATGGGTGAGTTCTACCAAAGAGTCAAGAAAAATTAACGCAATCCTTCCTAAATCCCCCAAAAGATGAAAGTTGAGGGAGGACTTCTACAACTTATTTTATAAAGCTGGCATCTCCCTGATACTAAAGCTAGAAAAAGCCACCACAAGAAAAATCCAGGCCAGTATCTCTGATCAACATCAATGCAAAAAATTCCTAATTAAATAGTAGCAGAATGATATCAGCAATAGAGAGACAAGATTATACTTCATAACCAAAATAGTATTTATCTGTGGGCTGCATGTTTTAGTAAGTGCTGAAATCAAGTAACATGATGCATTTTGAGAGTTGAAGCTACATGCACATCTCAATACATACAGAGGAGTATTTGACAAAGTTCAACATCCTTTCATGATAAAAATTCTCAACAAGTGAAGGTATAAAAGTAAATATCCTCAACATTATCAAGACCACTTATGAGAAGCCCACAGTTAACATCACATTCAATGAAAAGCAGTAGAAGATGGCCCAAGTGCTTGGGTTCCTGCACCCACATCGGAGACCCTGAAGAAGCACCTGGCTTCTGGCTCCGGCTTGACCCAGCCCCAGCTATTGCAGCCATTTGGGGAGTGAATCAATGAATGAAAGATTCTCCCTCTCTCTCTCTCTTTCTCTCCCTCTAGTTCTCCCTTTCAAATAAATAAATTTTAAAAAAGACACAAATACTCTTCACAAAAAAAAAAACAGACTTTCCATAAAAAGTGCTAGAGTGAAAGAATATTTGTTTCTTTAAATTATTATTAGCAACCACTTCCCACCATACATTGAATGAAAGTTAAAATTAGAAAGCTTATAAAGGACAGGCAAATATTTCTTAGGATACCATAGCACATACTAGAGTAAGAATGGATTAAATTGTAATTCATTAAAAAACAAACAAACACTTCACCTTATCGTAAGATATTGTTTTATTGTAAGATGTTATTTTGAAAGCAAAAGGACTATCTGTAGACCCGGGGTAACT